TGACAAATTTGACATACATGTTCATGGATATTTGACTTATATTGACTATGTTGGGTTAAAGAACAAAGGCCTGTATTGAAATAGATATTTGACTCATATATGTTTTCATTAGACACCTTACACCCAAAAGTCTTTTTAGATATGGCCGTGTTTCATACTTATATATTTACTGTAAGAACTGAAAAGTACGCATTTAAGGCAACTTATGCATTTAAATTTCAGGTTTTGCAAAACGTTGAAGAGTAAAAGCAAACGGTGCAAGACAAATATATAAGTTTATTATCATTTAATGATATACTACAGAATAATTTCCTTCGAACATATGAAGGAAATTATTAGATATGATGCACGTACAAAATATTCATTTCTATGTTCGAATTATGTTGGCTTTTTCATGCCTTCTCTGTAATTTCCCTTGACATGACAGTCTTTTCATGCAAATTATTCATCGTTTTTTTTACTAATTGTTCATATGAATGAGAACAAAGAGGAAAAAAAAACCCAAAATTATCGTGATAACGAAATTCTACGTCTGTATTTTATGGATGTAAAATTTTGAACTTTAAATTCTATATTGAAATTATCGTCATCCGGCTAAGCATGATTTTGATTATTTGAGCTTGTTAATGAGTAAGAACTAAGTAATAAAAAAAATATATAAGTGTGCTTTTCTGTTTTAATCAAGTTATGTGTGTAAATGTGTTGTTGGCCTAAAGATGTATATATACCACAGAGTTTGCTTCATTTCATTTAGAATATCTATTCATTATTGATACCACTTCACTTGAGAAGCAAGTACACCATAGTTTTCTGTGTTGAAACATAGCAATATTTATGTAATATAATTAGTAACCTCAATTGCACAAGTCGCATTTCTGCAAAAGAATCGTACGAATAATATTTAAAAAAAAAAATTTTAATTGGACGCATGATCGCAGAGGTTCCGGGTGAAGAAAGAATGTGTTATGTGTGTAATATTAATCAGCGAGAGGAATTTTGGTGCTGATCGCAAAGGTTCCGGTTGAAGAAAGGATCTGCTATATGTGTAAAACAAAACAGCGAGATGAATTCCATTGTCTCTTTATTTTTTAAATATCTTTAAAAAGCAGAAAATGACCAACCTCACCCAAATTTTCTTCATTTTAATATATTAAAAACCATAAAGAATTAGAATTGAGGTGAATGCTATCCGTATGTCTTGTGCTGCTTTACGAAATTTTGTTTTTGTTTTTGAAGAAGAAATAATGACCTTCCTTCAGTAAGATCTATGTCTGTAACTGGTATTGTAGAGATATTCTGTTGTGTAAAGGGGTGACACGGGGTGCTCATTTCCCAAATCCCGCTTTTTTGTAATTTTTTCCCGCTTCCCACTTTTTCCCCGAATCCCACCTTTTTTACTCCATATATCCCACACCACAAAAGCGTGTCACACGTCTTGTGTGTATTTTTTATTATTGTTCTTAAAATGACTATTTTGTACTAGTAATTATTTTTTAGATCATTTATTTTCTTGTCACCAATCATGATTGAATGTTGTTTATGATTAGTGTTGGACGTTAATAAAGCTTTCGTCTCGTGTCAGTTTACATTAATACAACCTGAAATTTCCATTGTAGATTTTTTGGGCAGACAAGATTACATTGAGAAATAACAGAAATTTATTGCGATTAATCACAGGTTACAATTTCTTCAGAGCGACAAAGTAAAACCGTTATTATTTGGTGTAAAATCCTTTGGCTTATCTTCAATAATGTGTTGTGGCTTTGTGTATCAATTCGTAATACGCTTGATTCCAATTGTAAGGGAGCTACCATGTAACTTCTAAAAGGGGGGGCTAGGATGGAAAATTTTGTCCTGCATTTTTTTTTTAGTTGTAATCTCTGTTCTGCCTTTTTATTTTTCACTAGTCGGTCCTGCATTTTTTTTTATTACTTTATCATGACTTTTTTACATGAGTTGTTAATCCTGCCTTTTTTTTACTTAAAACTCCTGTCCTGCCTTTTTTTAGAATTTCATCCTAGTCCCTAATCTTCCCGTCAAAGCGTTTGGTTATCGGTGACGTTATTTGACGTCGTTTGTGCGATTGTTGGGCATAAAATCTACGTCAGTAGGTTGAGCTAACTTTAGATTTTAAATCTCTTATCCGCAGTGGTCTGGTTTATAGTTGTCATTGTGTTATCTTATTTAGCTGCAGCATTCGTCATCAAACTCAATGTGACGCACTTCCTTTTTTTCAAGAATATTGGAAGAGAAAAGACGTGGTTGAAAGTCTAAGAATTATTGCGGTATTTAGCTGCAGCATTCGTCATCAAACTCACAGTGACGCACTTCCTTTTTTCAAGAATATTGGAAGAGAAAAGACGTGGTTGAAAGGCTAAGAATTATTTCATTTAACCCACCTTCCCTTTCCCAAATTTTATTTTCTTGACTTGCAACATTAGTTTCATTTTTCTGAATCTTGCAGCGGGGTTCAAATGAAAAATTGTAAATACAAGTTCAGTGTTAGATAATGTGTTATTTGTATTATATATGTTCTTTACTGTTAAGTCAATTTGGACAATATACTGCTGCTGTTTCTCATATTTTTCAGAGGCAGATCGAAATGTAGCGAAATATACAATGGTGTTTGATGATTGTGTACCTTGAGATTGGTGAATAATGGCAACAACAAAGACTTGACACGGATTCTCTATGCATGGATTGTTTTGTTGCGTCTGTGAACTCCGTCTCAATAATGGGCACATTTCGCTGCGCTCGGATAGCATTGTTATATATTATTCACAAACTCAATTCAAATATTAGTCTCTGATTTCCAGGGTTAATTTCAATTTAATCGGTTCAAATCATTAGCCTCTGATTTCCAGGGTTAATGGATTTTCGTCCTATTCAATTGAGAAGTTATGGTCTTCTATTTAAGAACAGTCGGCGACCATCATATATTATGTCTCAAAGTGTTAGAATATATAATTATATTGGACATTAAAGTTGACAATTTTCAGAAAAAATATATTGTTTGAAGTTTATAGTTGTGATGTAATTTAATCTATTAAACTGTGGCCAATTACTGCCAATAACCCTTAAATAGTTTTTTCTTTCTGATCATCCAGGATAAGAGATGAATATTCTCAAGGGGAATAAAGACGGGTGTTTGAAAAATGTCATGCAGTCACAATATTACTTTATCAGTTCAAAGATGCAGGGATCCAGTTAGACCATAAAACGTTTAAATGACGTGAGAAATTAGCGTATAGTAAAAGATTACTTCTAGTAATGGAAATGATATGGGTTAAACATATTGTATTACTTGAAAAGAGAAAAAGAAGCTTTTCATAATTCAAATAAAATTTTTCACAAAAATGTATTTCTCTGCAAATAATATCGAGTGAAAACAGGGACATTATCTTTCAATTGTTTAACAGTACATAGTATATGAATTAAATATTTTGTTCTGAATGAGGGTAAAAATTGAATATAATATAAAAAAAAACGATAAACAAATATTGATAATGAAACTATATGTAATGTTTCTGTAACTCATAAACTTTATTGCACGAGTAAGTTGAATTTTACAATCAGTCAACATTGAGCTTTAAAAAGTCTGCACCTATTGGTTGCAAAAAAAGCTAAATTTGATGAATCAATGTATTGAAAATGACGAAGAAGCAAGAACAAGACAATTTCATAGACGTTATAAAAACATTGATTAGGAGTTGTTTAACACCATTAAAATGACGTCACATCTTTTTTTTTCACGAGAATACCGGGCAGAATTAAAAAGAAATTAATAAATATTTTCAATTGTACAAAATTAAGTCTGCAATTTATTGAAAAAAAAAATATCAATTTACAATTTCATAATGTGCAAATAAGACTGTTTGGTTCTATAAACAATGTTGTGTTCTTAAAAAAATGACTTCAAACCTGAACTTAAGTTAAACATTTTTATCTTTTTCTAATTTCGGATAAGTTAGTTTTCGAGTTGGGACTTATTTACATTGAGTGCCAAACTGTAATAAAACTTTTATTTTTTTTAAAAGTTTTTACAATGCAAATTTTGCTATTATTACTCTAAATGGGAAATAACTTACATTTAGGCATTGGAAAAAATATACAAAAATATAAAAATCACAATGTGATTTTAAAACATAAACATGAATTGAAATTGTCATTGGGCTTATAAGACTGATACAAAAATCTGTGATATAAAAATCAATGAATCAAGCGTGTTGAAATTTTACGATAGGATTTCGGCAAATGAATAGTTTAATTTAATAATTATGCCTCACATCTATCCATGTACAAATTTATATGTACACTTAATCCTAACAGCACGTTTTCATTACACAAATCATATTGGTGTTGACATGTTAGACGTAAATATTACTTATGTACATATCATGTTTTTAAATTTTCTGTTGGTGGCAGTGTTTACCACATTACAATTTATTTTCATCGAATTATTCAATATCAAGTTGGTAAAAATTTCATTATTTTTTAGACTATTATAAACCATAAAATATTATTTAATAACTTCAAACGTTAACCCTACTGAAAATCAATTATCACTCATCTGTTTAAAACAGGGTATAAACATATTGAACACAATTGCCAGGAATATAGAAAAAGGTTTACTCTTCAGTTAGCAGATTTTTGTTGTCTTAGCTTATTATCTCAGAAATTTAACACGTCTTAACAAATGCATATTGAATGCTAATAGGGGGATAAATATGATCAAGATCACATTTAATGGAAGAAAATAAAGTGAAATGATAAAACTTATTTATTAGAAAAAACTGTATACAGATAATAAAGGTAAAAGGTTTTTGTATTGCCTAATGTTCCTCTCATTTGAAGGAAAAATTTAGAATGATATCGTAAACTTAAGGAGATTAAGATCATCTGTATCAAAACAAATGTGTACTGTTTGAGTCATGACAAAACTCACGACTTATAATAACCTGCGAAATTTGTATACATAATAGTTACAATAAACTACTTACCTGCAACCACAAAAAATACAGCAACTTGCACGAAAATATAGTTATCCATTACCAGGTTGGTAAGATATCCAAATATTACTGCATTCTGATCAATGAAGTGTGTATTTGTATACCGGATTCTCTCCGTTTCCGGATGGAAGACGTTCGAATATTCTCTTTATACCGACTGGTCCATTATGACCGTAATAGTTAAAAGTCATAAGATGTGAGTAATTAATTCTTTTTTGATGTTGACAGAAAATCTTATTACATAATATCTTTTTAAACAGACAAGGACATAAATAGATCTACTTGAATGCCTCAGTAAAACCTGACCACATGTTACAAGCGATGTGTTCTTCTGCGGTTTACCCAGACCTAATTGTTATAGCATTCCAGGTGGAACGGTAGTACTTACAATGTACTTTCCGGGAAATATACTTATTAGTTCAATATATGTATCTGACCACAGTGATTGGACCACAAATACAGAATCTACGGAACATATTTTTCCAATCTGAGGGACGAATCAGCTAGGTGTAGATAAATATAAAATAATTTTACATGCAGGTGAAAATGAATATTTTAGAATTTTTGAAAATTTGGTATTCACTACATGATAAAAGGCCGCAAAGCACCAGGAGCCTTAGTATTATTCGGATAACAGATCATGAAGACGGAAATCATACAATTATGTCTGAATATTGCAATGAAAGCAATACAATTATCTGTGTATGTAGGTTCTGGTTCAGTGTTAAAAAGTGGTGAAAATTAAAATTCTAAATAGGCTATCATTATCCCTATGGCCCATGAAATACTTCCATGATTCCACATCCACCTGAAAACTGTAATATGAAATATAAAATAGAAAACCAAATGCACAACAAAATAAGAAATTCATTTGGTAAGTCACGCGCTGAAAGAGCGCAACCCGTAGCACGTAAAAACTGTTTCAAAAGCAGTCAGGAGTATGTACGTGACCTAATTTGGCGACCAACCATGTTTCCATTATCTAACATACACTTTGTTGGGAGTCAGTCCAAATATCCCGCTTTATATCCTATCCTGATCAACCAATATAGTAGAACCTATCTAATTCATTTATAGTCAGACTTGCTTTCGTTATGAATCACGCGGCATAACATATTTGCCAATTGATGCTAAACATCAATACTCATAGTCACTATTATACAAGCGCGGATTCAGACGGGGTCGTAACCGGCGCGCGCCCCCTAAAAAAGGAAAAAAACGTACATTAATAGGTAAAATAACAGCCATTTTTTTTGTCAAAATGTGGTCATGGTCTCCCTCCTAATTCTGAGGAGCGCCCCCTAACATCAATCCTGGATCCGCGCCTGTTATAGCCAATATTATGTCGTTTTGTGCTAAAAAAAAATTCCAAAGAACGTGAAGAAATGAATAAACTGCAACATTTCATTAATTGAATCACAATTATCGAAAGTTATAACCCTAATTGTATAAGCAAATTTATACACATACAGTTTGTGTCTTAGAATGTTGCTGTTGCTTTTATAAATAAAAAAAACCGGATTTAAATATACGTTATTCTGATTCCGAGCAGACAGTCTTTGCTACTATACATAATGCTTGACAACGAAGAAAATTAACAAATGCCGCGTGTCCAATGAAATGAATGGATAATATATAAGAAATTTGCATAAAGTATAATAACATATAATGATGTCAGAGTATATGGTGTATGATTTGAAGAGTACCCGCAGACAAGCTGGATAAGGATGGGTTTTAGTAAAACCTTACATTAAGTTTATCTTTGTTTAAAGACTTTTTATTTGAAACCCGGTCATAAGCAAAAACCAACATTTAAAGGTTAACATTGATTTCTGTCCTTAACAAAGCACAAGCTCTAGAATGTAACAGAAAATACTTGGCGGAATATATAACAAATGGTACAGATACGAATGCAAGAAAATCCGTTCAGAAAAATGATAAAACAAAGAAACAAGTAAAACATTGCTAGATAAATCCAAAATTACAAAATGGATAAAAAGTACAATGACCGGGTTAAACTGGGAACCACTTGGATTTACGCTACGCTGAAACATGAACAAAGTGTAGTGGTCAGGCGCGAACCTGGTTTCAAATAATATAACAACTGATAATGTTTTCTTTATGAATATATAAGTATATGGAATTTCAGGTGTAAAAAATATTTAAACAACTTAATAAAGGGGTGGCAAAATTTTCTGTGACGGTTCAAGGATCTTGGATGAAAACTGTAGTAGGTGATTACTTCTTTTTTATAGCGTGCTAAAAAATTACTAAACAAGAGACAATTAGATATATAGGGGACATTCAAAACTTAGATGTCAAAGAAAAACTGACACAAATTAGACTATTTACCGGATTTGTAATAACATAAGCAACATGACGGGTGCCACATGTGGAGCAGGATCTGCTCACCCTTCCGGAGCACCTGAGATCACCCCCAGTTTTTGGTGGGGCTCGTGTTGCTTAGTCTTTAGTTTTCTATGTTGTGTCATCTTTTCTTTTATTTGTCTGTTTGTCTTTTTAATTTTGGCCATGGCGTTGTCAGTTTGTTTTCGATCTGTGAGTTTGGCTGTCCGTCTGGTATCTTTCATCCCTCTTCTATGGCAAAAAAAAAAATAATAAAACGAAACGAAAAGACAAAAAGGTCCACCAAATACTACAAAGAAAACTAAAGAATGAGCAACATGAAACCCACCAAAAAAACTGGAAAAAATCTCAGGTGCTCCGGAAAGGTACAAAGTGATAGCGGATTGGTTATTGACTGTTATCTTACCTTAACCAATTTCTCTGAAGTCAGTCTATTGTTCTAACTGTAGATTGTTTTTAAAGAATCCACTGACCATTGTGTTAACTTGATTTAACTTCTTTAAATTTTTAACTAACGAACTTATTACAATTCAAAAAACGGATATCACCTTTATGGTTCGAACTTATTCATTATCTTTATTCTGTCCGTCCATGATTCCCAACAACCACGATTGTTGATATACAATAACAAAAGTTTATACTTTTAAATCGCTGTATGTTAATAACTCTTGTCTATACATACATATATGCACACAAATTATGTAGCTGTCTCGTTGATAAGTTTGGACAAGATTTGTTGTTCGATTTTGTTTTGTGACGTGTTGGACCGATCTTTTATACTGGTGATTACGGCTATGATACAGTAGTTATAAAACTGTAAAACTAACATTCATATACCAATGACACTTGTCACGTGCTACAACAACATTGAAAACTAAATCAAGAGCAATTTGAACCCCTTTTAAACAAAACTAGGGGTGATATCAGGTGCTCCGGAAGGGTAGGTAGATCCTGCTCCACATGTCACACCCGTCATGTTGCTCGTGGTGAGTAACAATTCAATGACAAGTATGATTCCGGGTTGTCTCAATCGAGGAAAAGAGGACGGATGGAGTATTACACAAAATATGTTAATTATGCTGACGACAATACTCTGTCTTTTAGCAGTCCTGATTATGACCATCTCATATCTATATTAGAATCTGAGTCTCAAGTGCTGAATGATTGGTTCAAAGAAAATAAGATGCAGGCAAATCCTAATAAATTTCAAGTTATTGCTGTAGGGAAAAGAACCTTTGCAAAAAATCCGTCTATCCAAATTCAGCAAAATACTTTTTCATGTGAAGAAACCGTCAAGTTACTTGGAGTTGATATTGATTACCAACTAAAATTTGATGCACATATAAGTAAATTGTGTAAAAAAGCATCACAACAGCTGAATGTTCTCAAGAGAATTGGATCCCATTTAACCAGATTGAAAAAACTTACAATTTTCCATACTTTCATTTTGAGTAATTTTAATTTTTGCCCTTTGGCTTGGCATTTTTGCACAGAGAAAAATTCTAAAAAACTGGAAAAATACAAGAGAGAGCATTAAGATTCGTATATGACGACTATTTATCATCCTCTGAAACTCTTCTTGAGAACGCAAAGGTCCCAACCCTACAAGTGAGACGCATCAGGATAATAGCACTTGAGACTTATAAAATTTAAAATAATTTGGCTCCTTTATGTTTACAAAATTTACTTCATATTAAAAGCACTAAGTATTATTTTAGATACAGTGACATTTTGGAAATACCACAGGTAAGAACTACCTCATATGGAGAGAAATCTTTTAGCTTTACTTCTGCTTCTTTATGGAATAGTTTACCAGACCATTTCAGGACTGTTAACAGCTTCACACATTTTAGAAGTCTTGTTCAGTCGTGGAGTGGAACGGACTGTTTTGCTCTGCCTGCAGGTAATTTTTGATACATTATTTATGCTTTTTATGCTGCATTAACAGCTTGCGTTGCAACTGGAATTTTGTTTTTACGTTTTTTAAAATAATTACAGGAGTTGAAGTTTTTTACATTAAATTATTTACTGAAAATTTTTAGCTGCAAATTTTTAAAATTATTCCTGTATTAGTGCTTCATATATATGTTTTTAGTATTAGCAAGATACATATATATATGCTAGAGTTAAATCTGGTGCTGTTTTATTACTATTTATTTGCATGCTGCATGCCTTGTTTTATTTGTTATTGCATATGTTTTTATATTCAGTGAAAAGCTCATTAGAGCTTATGTTGTAGTATGTTTGTCAATATGCCAAATCAAAATAAAGTTTTACTTACTTACTTACTTACCGCTTTTCATAACCCGACACCAGTTTAGAGTAGGCGGATTTTGCATCCCGGCCAACAATTTCCAGTATTCGAAAGCATATTCAAACTTCCTAATCTTCTGTTTTAGACATCGTACTTGCTTTCTATTCTCACTCATATTTGCTGCTGTATTACCCAGTAGATTTCATATAATATCATCATTAACAACACAAAAACATGATTTTTTAACATAAAAAAAGGTTGAACTACATGTATTCAAGGTAAAATATGTTCGTTTCGATAGTTTATCATGTGACAGTGATATCAAAATACACATATTTTTAAAAAGTTTTATCATATTTGTTTACAAATACAAAAATCATACTATCAAAAGAAATAAAGAAGAATTTCACATTGTTTTGCAACTTGAGGAGGTAAACATCCCCCTTCCTCTTTAAGAAAAGAAAATGTTTAACTAATTAATGATAATTTAGTGTTGTCAACGATTAACTAGTTAACCGGTTTACCGTCGGAAGGACCGAATACCGAATACCAAAAACGCTAACCGGTTATCCGGACCTATTCTTGAATTTTAATAGATTTGATATAAATGTGTATTAAAAATCAATAATGCATTTTGTTGAATTCTAAAGTGATTGTCGTGCTACTTAACTTGATAGATCAATTGTCCGGTATATTAATTACTATTGTTAACCTTGATAACATTCAAATTTTACAAATTAATTAGCACAAAAACAACTTGTCTATCAGCTCGGGGCTAGACCTTAAGTAAACATAATTAGCATACATGCATTTTGAACAGTTATAATCTGATAAATTTGACGATTAACTTGAAGTTCATAATTTCACTTTGATTGAACATTGCGTAAACCTACATTAATCAAATGTGCCATCTTTATCGTTCAAGGCATTGTCATCCTTTCAACGAAAAACCGACTCAAAAATAAAGACTGGCTGGTACGAGTAACATGATTAATCTTCTCAAATAATAACACTCCACGGAATTTTCTGTCAGACACCACTTTCACACTTTGTCATTTCGCCGAGATCAAGAATATTTTCATCTTCTCAATATGAATTAAGTTATTGCAAACGCCATAGTAGATATGGTTGTATTGGATTATCAAAAGTAAAAACTTCACCAGGAATGCTCAAAACCAAGCTTTATAATGCCCAAGGATAAACTATTTATCGTATCAAAAACCGTGCATTTGTAGAGTACTGTAGATAATGCCTTTAAACATCAACGTTACTATCGGTTAATCGGTTAATCAGTCGAAAGATTGTTGACAACACTTTAATTTATTATATGAATTCAATTGTAAAATTTTATTAATGACATTTTCATGTTCTTTGACATACTAAGTATGAAACGTCACTTCAAACATATACATATCCAACAAACTAAAACAAAAAAGACGCAATATATGGATAGATATTTTTTCTATTCTGAAGGGTGAAAATTGTGACAAGAAAAGTAGATGAATATGACTAATCTTTAACATTTATGTAATAATGTATAATATTGTTGACAAATGTTTATTAAATTAGTCGTTTATGTCTTGTTTCACTGGCCTTTGTTACTGCTGGTAATATTCTATGACATGCTCGGGCTAAAAATATAATAAAGGATGTCTTAAAAATTAGTAAAGGTAACGCGTAGTGTCCGGTTAAATATAAAAGTACTAGTGTGCGACTCAAAAGTTGAAGGGAAAATGTATGTTATTTCAATATCTGTTCCTCTTAATATTATGCAATCAAACACTATGCTTTTTATCTATAGTTTTTTCCGCATAACTCTTAAAATGTAGCGGTTTAAAAAAATAAGAAGATGTAATATGATTGCAAATGAGAAAAACTTTCGGTTGCCGTACGGCCTTCAACAATAAACAAAACCCATACCATATAGCAAGCTATAAAAGACAATGACATGACAATTGTTATCCAATTTACCATAATTTCCCAGTGGCAGTTCAAATTTTCTGCTCTTCATCCCGAACGACCTCTATTACAGGACCTATCTATTGTATGTATGATTGTTAATTTGTTCTCGTCCTGAACATACATGAAATATTTTGCCACTGGACGTAAAGCAACCAACAATCAATCAATCATATATATTATATTGAAGCTTTTGAATAATGGGTATTTTCTGTGGTTTGTATACAAGTTGTTTTGAGGTGTGGTATGAGTGTCAATGAGATAACTATTCACCAGAATAGAAATGACGTAAACGTAAGCAACCATAGGTTACCGTATGGCCTTCAACAATGGATACAATATAATTTCGTATAGTCCGCTATTACATCACAAAATGAGAAACAATTCCAACGAGAAAACCAACGGCCTGATTTATGACAAAAAATAAATGGAAAACAAACATGATAGAAGCCGACAACGATCGCTACTGAAATGCATGTCCCTAGCTTGTGACAGGCAAATATAGAATGTGGCGGGATTAGACATATTGTGTGCACTCAACCCAATACAGCTATGAGGGAGATGCTTTCTTAATTCAAAATAATTTCAAAATTTTATAACAGCACATTCAATAACAATATCCAAATTTTTGTTTACAGAACCGAAGTACTGGCTACTCTTTCATATCATAAAAGTAGTGCTGATTTAAATGGTATTACAAACTGTATTGCGTTTAAAGTACTATTACGGAGACTCAAAGTCAACAAATTAGAAAGTCAAAACGGATTTACCTAGCCCGTTGATTTCCTTTTACTTTTGTATCAAAGACAATTTTAATATTTGGAGCAATTAATGCAAGAACAAACCAAAAAAGATCAATTTGACTGTTATAAATAGAATTGTAGTTCAAGGAATTTATTCAAAGGAAACTAATTTTGCCAATATTTTAGCTCTTTCTCTAAAATCAGGAGATCTATCTAATTAAGAGCGAATACGTTGTATGGTTACCAACAATAAGACACCCAATAACAAAGTGCAAAAATTACCTCGGAACTGGAATTGTATATGCAGTCTTCAGGATTGTTTATTTGATTAATATTTTTAAGGGAGTTATAATTAATAAACAAAATATTCAGACTAAGAACATGAAAAAGAACACTTTAAATAAATAAACACATAACATCAAACTTCGAAATGATATACGGAGAAAACAGACAAAAACACGCATACAATTTTAATTATAAACTGCTGTTGAAATGAAAACTCCCATGCTAACTACTAATACATAAATAACATATGCTCTGGATGGGTAAGTTAAACACTAAGCAAAACTAATGCTTTCGTGATAACAACTCTCATTAGACAAAGAGGGAACCATTGTGTAGACAATTCCAGAAAAGCGATTTGGACGCACCGTTTCTTATTTTCTTGCACCAGGTGGATACCGCTGCTAGTGGGAATCATGTGCCAAAAAGTCCTATGCCATTAATATGACTAGTACAATTATCCGTATATATTTTTTTATAATTTCTTAAGAATCTTAGATGGTAACTCCCTTTAGCAAAGTTGAGCTTTGATGGTTTTGGCTTATCCAGCTCCTCTAGTATTTATAAATAAATACCCGTTTTCCATTTGTTTGGTTTTCGCCGTTCCTGGTGAAGGTAAATCAAGAAAAGCAATTCGGGCGCATCAATTTTATACAGTGTTAATTTTATTATAAATCAGATACAATGACACAGAGTTGTTAAATTTTATTCAGATGCGCATTGAAATTTTAAAATTTTCTATTTTTTTTGGCATCGAAAATGAATGGAAAGCATGGACAAATATATTTATCTCATCATTTTGGAGATACATACCTAATAATGGTTGACAAACAAGCGACGACGAACAGTAAGTTTTTAAGGCATGAGCATGTTTATCAGTGGAGTTGTTTTTTTGTTTTTTGTCGTTGTTTTTTCTTTCCTTCTTTCTAACTCATATATTTTTCCTTTCTTGGAATGACAATAAAACAAAGTCAGTTAATCTTGTACTATTTGCATTTGTTTTTTTATCTTACTATAATTTTACATACATGTTTATACCGTCAATTTCTTCTTTGATATGAAAACAAATTTTAAAGAAGCATACTTCGACCAAAAAAGACCTCATAGAACATTTCATGCGATAAAAAACAAAGATATGAAGTACATTTTAAGAAAGTGTACGGACAGGATTTTCAAAGTTTAAAACCACATTCTATCAGGACAATTGTTTTATACACTTATTTATATTGGTTGTGTCTAATTGAGTACAAATAGTTCGTTAAATACTTGGAAACCACAGAGGCATCTTTCATAAAACAAGTGCATATATAAATTGTTATGGAAATCGAAACATTCTAGTCTATAATCATGTGCATTTGACAATACGTGGTATTAAGATTTGTTTTAATTGAAAATTCTACTTATATTAGACCTTAACGTGAACATTGTGTTCTAGAATTCATTTTTTTTGGTCACAAAATTGACTGACTGCTTTTGGACTTCTGGATTTGACTGTATATTATTTTGCTTTGTGATCGCTTTGTTTTGTTCCTTAACGCCTTCGTCTTCGTCGGAATAATATTCATGATCATTTTCATTAGTATTTTCGTCATCGTCGTCGTAATATTCATAGTAATACTCAACATCGTCATTTTTAGAAGAACCGGTTTGAGGTTTGATAGTTTTAATACTCATATGGTCCTCATTATACTCTGATTTTCTTGCGTTTACTTCGAGTCTTTTCATTGCAGCCAAATAATGTTGATAAGCAATATGATGCTTGCCCTTAATCGCAGCCAGATAGCGCTGTATTTCAATAGTTCGCTTTCCCTTCAATGAATCTAAATATCGTTGAAAAGCATTGTAACGTCGGAGTTGTTGTTCGTCAATATTTAAAGGACTATTGGTCGCTTTAATATTGAAAAGATTATTGGTTGCTTTAATATTGAGACGACTATTGGTCCCTTTAAGACCTTCTACTTGCTGTTGACTATTTGTAAACATCTTATTAGAATTCTTATAAAGGCTGTTTGCATGAAGGTTTATTGGCTTTATATCTTTCTTTTGTTCGTTATTGTTGCTGTTGTCGACATTATTTTCAAACTGTTCATTCATTGCATGTTGTAATTTTTTATATAGTGCCTGTTTCAAAGAATCATGTGTATGTAAATCACCACCTGGCAAAAGTTCCTTAGATGGGAAATTATACAACATTTTGCTAGATATCAAATTAGGCTTCGTTTTGATGGCATTATTCAACAATTGTTTTCGGGATTTTAGTGACGGTATATTATTGAAATCATCATCATCGTAACTTTCAAAGCTTTCAAAGCTATCAAAGCTATCAACGCTATCGAAGCTATCGAAGCTATCAAAGCTATCAAAGCTATCAAAATCATTTTCCCCATTGTCATATTCTTCTGAATAGTATTCATATGTGATATCATCATCATAATTGCCATAATGTTTATTTGTTGATTCTAAATGAGAATACCCTTTACTTGCCATTTTTTGTTGTTGTGCAAGCAACAATTTTGGGTACGCAATGTGTTTGGCTGGTTCTTTTTTCTGGAGATGTGATAAAAATAGAACACCTTCAATTATACTATCGTCATCTGATGAGGAATCATCGTAATATTCGTATTCACCATCGCTTTCGTCGTCAAACTCATAATATTGATCATCTAAATGTTTTTGTTCAATATAAGGGGATTTCAAACCTTTGTTTTGCGTTGATAAATTTTTGTTTTTATTCAGTGTTTGAGAATCACTGTACATGCTCTTTTTTGGTGAAAATAAAGAATTCGTCACTTTGCGTCCTGTCAACCTTTCTTTCTTTATTACATGGCTTATACTATCAAGCCCTTCATTGATGTTTGGTACTACTTTTTCCTCATGATTTGTCAGTTTCGACTTTTTTGTTTTTACGAATTGCAAATTATCTCCATCTGAGTTTTGTGTACTGTACAACGAGTCTTTATCCTTATCGTTTCGTTGTTGATTTGGTACTATTGAACTTGTTTCCTGAACTATTGGAATATAGGTTATAGTTTCCAAAGAAGAAACGGGTGGTTTTATCGTTATAAAAGCTTTGGTGATGAAATTAATGTCGCCAATTACAACATGATTAGAGGTTGATTTTGTAGCTTCTTCTTCTCTATTTTTTGGCTTTATGAACGGATCGGTAAACTTGTTTATATCTTCGTAATTTTTATTAGACTCATTTCTTATAGACGTCCAATTATCAACCGTTTCATGAACTGTTGGAATATAAGTTGTAGTTTCCTTAGAAGTAACGGGTAAATTAGTCTTTGTAAACTCTTTAATATTGATGTTATTAACGGTGTCAATTGTAACATGATTATATTTTGGTTTTAAAGCTTCTTTCTTTCTATGTTTTGGCCTTATGAACAGATCGGGAAATTCGTTTATAACGTTATAACGAACATTACTAATAGACTCATTTTTTATAGACGTCCATTTATCAGCCATTTTCCCATTTGTTGATGACGTTTGTATATTGTATACTAAGTCTTTATCCTTATCGTTTCGTTGTTGATTTGGAACTATTGAACTTGTTTCTTGAACAATTGGAATATAGTTTGTAGTTTCCAAAGAAGTAACGGGTGATTTTGTAAAAGCTTTGGTAGTGATGTAATTGAATTCGTCAATTGCAACATGATTAGAAGCTGATTTTGTAGCTTCTTCTTTCCTTTGTTTTGGTTTTATGAAATGATGTGTAAATTTCTTTTTAACGTTATAATTAATATTATTAATAGACTCATTTTGTAATGATGTCCATTCATCAGCCGTTTTCCTATTTGTTGAAGAATCATTTAACATAATATTAGTATCAAATTCATTTGCACGTCTTTTGCTATTTTGAATGACCATCCACTGGTTTGATTGAAAGTCTGCCATTGGCATAGGAGACGCTGTCAATGTCTCTTGTATCATAGTTGTCAATTTAGTTTGAGAATCACTTGAACTTGATGCTGGTGCTGTTGTATCTGATTGATTGCTTATTGAACCACTCTTTGAATTCGTTTTAGGACTTGGTTCAGATGATGTATTATATGTATGATTCTGTGAAACGTTGTCACTCCGGGAGGAGTGTAGTGTTTCTATGTCGGGTTTATTGCTACTTACATTATTTTTGACTGTTTGAAAAGTGTGTAAAATAGGCCTTTCTGTTACTTGTAATATATCTAGAGATCTGCTTCGATTTTTAGATTTTATGTATGGTTGAATTTCTTTACTTTTGTATTTTGTTGAAATCTCAATATGAGGGTTGTCTGTTGGAGATTTATCAACTGGAGTTAACTTCAAGTCTTCATTAACAATGTTATAGTTCAAGTCATTTACGTCGGTATTGTGTTTTATTTTGTTTTCTTGAAGTTTGTTCTTTATGTAGACTGCACTACCATCTTTCGAAAAATTGTTAATATCCTGCATATTTTGTTGAATTTGAAGAAGACTTCGAATATTTTGACTCCTGTTTGAATCGTTGGTTGTAGAAGTATTATTATAAATCATTGCTGTCACCATAGAATAATTGTCTTTTGTTGAAAAGATACTGAAAATAACTAATAGATAAAAACAGTTTTAGCAAAAATAACAATCTAAGTACAAACAAATGATACCTAAATGTGCTATATTCATTTCATACCGATGTCTTCATTTGCTTTGTTAAAAACTGGACGGGATTTCATGAATCTCTACGGCGGTTAATTGAAAGAAGCTGTATCAAATCAGCATCAACAGAGTGATATTATCAAATATGTATGCCAAGTTTGGCTCGACTTATTTCCTGTTTTGTATTTGATCATTACATAGATATAGGAAGATGTGGTATGAGTGCCAATGAGACAACTCTCCATCCAAGATTAGTTAGATATTAAGTTTTATACTTTTTTTGTGTTATAATATTGATCAATTGAAGCGACAAAAAGAAAAATTGTAATAAACTCTTGTTTTAGTGTTTTTATTGACTGTAATATAAGCAGAACCAGATATGACAGTGACGAATTTTTTTTCCCCGAAATTCTCAAATCCCATTCATACGTGAAGTACTTTGCTCTAAATAATCTAATCCAAAGAACTGTTATAAGTACAACCTTTGATTATGTAAAAAGTTTAATCACAAAAATACTGAACTCCAAGGAAAATTCAAAACGGAAAGTCCCTAATCAAATGGCAAAATCAAAAGCACAAACACATCAAACGAATGGACAACAACTATCATATTCCTGACTTGGTACAGGCATTTTCTTATGTAGAAAATGTTGGATTAAACCTGGTTTTAAAGCGCTAAACCTCTCACTTGTATGACAGTCGCATCAAATTCCATTATATTGACAACGATGTGTGAACAAAACAAACACACACAATAGGTAAAAATGTCACAAATAGGGGTACAACAGCAACACGAACTCCACCGAAAACTGGGGGTGATCTCATGTTCCCCTGAAGGGTGAGCAGATCCTGCTCAACACGCGACACTCGTCGCGTTGCTCATGTTATTACAAAGCCGATAAATAGTCTAACTCGGTAGGTCACATTCGTGAAAAGGGAACGGGATTGTAGTTCCGACATAAGGAACATATCCGATACCATCTGTGAAACGGATATTCTACAACGGTCAACCAACACGTGATGGCGTCCGTAAAATTTACAAAGTGATGATTTCAACTTCACCATTTGGAACTCTTGGTCTAAAAATGAAAATTCACAATTGGGAAGCGGAAATCATCTCTTTTGTCGTAAAGTTTTGTTTTCAACCGACCCTCATAATCATTATCTAGATATAAGTCCTAATCAAATGGCATAAAATCAAAAGCCCAAACACATCAAACGAATGGATAACTGTCATATTCCTGACTTGGTACAGGCATTTTTCTTATGTAGAAAATGGTGGATTGAACCTGGTTTTATAGCGCTAAACCTCTCACTTGTATGACAGTCGCATCAAATTCCATTATACTGACAACGATGCGTGAATAAAACAAACACACATAATAGGTAAAAATGTAAAAATAGGGATACAGCAGTCAACACCGTGTCATAATCTTAATCACAACAAAACCAAACAAATGTTTAACAAAGAAGCACAAAAAAGCATATATCACATTTAACAACCTCGTTCATTGCTTACTTATTTTTGTATTGTATTTATGTATGCCAAATCAACCCATAAAGGATCGAGGGATTTTAAGCACTGGGACCGAATCGTAATTTTAACATTAACTCTGGCGTAGAAACGCGTGTTTGACGTCAGAATGTAAACGTCACACAGGTAGAAATATAAAATAGTTTTGTCGTTCAAAGTATGCAAACATTATAATAGAACAATAACACAATGGCGAGATGTTTAAAGTACAGAGTCACGTAATATGTATCAAAGAACAATAAAAAGTCACACGGACAAAGCACACAAGTAAAAATGAAAAATAATACAAACAACACAATGACGGAATACATAAGTACAGAGCCACGTCAAATGTATATCACCAAAAACAGACCAAACAGTAAAAGTAATATTAATAACGACAAATAAAAGAACACTTTAACACGTTATTAAGATGATAAACAGCGTCAGTACGCAGAATCTATACTTCAAGACCATCATGTATTATTTGTGAAGTTGATACGGAATAGTTATCAATAAGGTCTTGGTACCTTCCGATGAACTTTTTAAGAAAAAGGACGAGATGTTCTTTGACAAACCCCTGGTTCATCAACTTTTTGCTTTTTTTTTTAAATGCAATTGATATATCAGTCATGTGTTAATTAGAAAGATTGTGGTTGTAGTTATAGCCACATAGGATTGTATGATTGTAAACATTTGTAATCTTTTCGAAAATAACGCCATCGTTAACGCTATGTCTTTATAATACTTGAAACTGTTATTTTAACGATTTTGATATTATTTTTATGTCATTTTTGGTCATATAGCTCTTGTTTCGGTTCTTATGCATCATTGGCTTTCAAATATTCGGGTTTTGGCGTTCCTGGTGAAGGAAAATTCAGAAAAGCGCTCCGGCCACATGGAATTTATAAAGACTTGTTTTCATTTTTACTACAAATGTTATTATAATATGGACTATGCATGTGAATAGATCATCATCATCTGTTTTGTTCCATTTTTCACTTGATATGTCATTGGAATCTCATAACAGGTTATACATACACAGCATGATATTTTACCTATATATGCACCTGGTCTGAAAATCGACACTTAAGAAGATTGATGGTAACCTTCATGAATTCGATGAGCCATACGATATGTCTGTTTCTCAACTCACTAGAGACATATTTTTGCATTCTTTTAATCCTTAGATACCAGAAAAATCTAATTTGTTATTCTATCAATTTTGTCCGATTCCCAATTGTGACATTTTGACTTAGTTTTGATTGGTATAGAAGATGATGCACGCAAAGCAGGAGACTTTTATCCTGTCGACGCATCCAATCTCGCTGCGTTTTAAAGTTCATGCGATTTGCTCAGTTTTTGTGTGTTACATTGATTTCTGAGATTTGAACATCGGTAAACAAAATGATAAAGATCGGAACTTAATGTGATTCTTCCCGTTATCTTACATGTTTCGTCGTTTGAATGAAACGGTTTGCTTCAATTTCAGAGACAACTTACATATTTATTGTCTATAGAAACATCTCATTAACTGAAGTGTAAAAATGTACGTGAGGAAAATAGTAATAATACAGCAGGGTGTTTTGTATGCAAGTGAAATACGTATAATTTTACACGAGGAAATGTGTTACTAAACTATATAATGTTCCGCTCTTGTGAGCATGATAACAATATATTTCATTTTGATATACATTTCAGTTTCGGTAATTTCTTCAGTATGATATACCATTTCAAGTACTCAGATAGGTTAATCAAATTGGGCTATATTGTATAGGACGATGTTTGGATGTAAAAGTTAATAACAAGAGTCATTTTCATAAAACAAATTAACTCATATACACGGAGAAGTATTTTGATTTATGTTGCAACTTTTCAAAAAATGTTGATGTTTCTTTGATTCACGAAAAAATTATGTTATTTGGACTCGGAATAAAAAATTGATGTAAAGAACATGTAACAGTATACGGCAATGGGTCAGCATAAGAAAAACGCAATTAAACCAAAACACAGAGTATTTAGAGGTCAAATGACATCGTTTCTATTCCGACTGTTCTATGCCATTGAACAGGAATATTTTTATAAATGGTTGTATAGACATACGTATAACATTTATATAAAAATACTACTCACATAAAAGATAAACAAAAGTTGTATACATGTTATCTTGATGACACAAGTATTCCATCGTTATACACGAAAAAAGTAAATATCACGTTGCATGTAAAATGAAATATTCTGATTAGTTATAAATGTTAATTAAGTCCAATAGTTAATTGCTTGTAAAATATATACAACTAATGAGATATATTTGATATGCTTATTTACAGTTTGAAACTGCATAATGTGGTTACAACTCATTACAACATGTTGACCAGAACATGTACATGCCATGTTCATGTTTGCATAATCTGCATTTAAATATAATTAGTAATGTTTGATATCCTTAAATCATTAATGCCTTTCAATAAACAAAAAACTCAAAGGTAATATTACTAACTTAATACAGTCATGAGGCTTTCATGGTGATGTATTGACAAATTTAATTTGAGAGATACATGTACCAATAGGTTTTAAAAACCTTCATGACACTATAAAGATAATTTAAACAATAACATTAAATTTATGCTAATCATCACTTATAGTTTCCTTTTGATCCTTCACGATTGATTGATTGATTGATGGTTGATTAACTTCCTGTGAGTTCTTCACGAATATGCATGTTTAGTTCCCCTTGTGTCCAAATGCTATACCTCGTATGAATAGTTATATCATATTGTTAAATGTTGAAACATTTTGTGTGGCATTGAAACATCCTTCCATGTAGGTAATTCCAAAGCGTTTGTGCACATCGTTTATATTATAGATAAGAGTATGGTCACAAATGCATATTATTCCAGCCCATATGTTGTTGTAACGATTAATTTTATCTTCTATTATTCAAAAGTGTTGTACAGTAGTAATTGTATGTTATATTGTCAAGTTGTTTATTTTGTTGAAAATTCTGATAAAAGAGAAGCAACTCTAATAATCTATACAAGTTACATTAGTATAAACACATTGTGTATTCTATTACCTCTTATTATTAGAATAGCAAAACACTCATCAAAATTAATTTCGATGCCTAAGACTGACAAGTTTTTTTTTCTCGTCAGTTAGCAATAACACGTTACAATTGAAAATTTTAACATTGTTGTCAATGAAATGCTTTTAATATTTCGTATTGTGTACTGATTACTTGTTAAGATATATGTAGATGGAATTTGTTTATCAATTTTTGTATTCATAAATAAAGAATTAGAAACTACAGTGAATATTAACACATTTTAATTGAAAATTACATTGAATACATGTACATATTTGATATACCTCGTTTTATTTTTTTTTTTCAGAACGGCAGTTTATACCCATTATGAGATAAGGAAACAAGGCAAGGAAAGGTTATCGCAAAAATAAAATGTTTTCTTGAGAAAAATAATCGTGGTTGGTATTGAAATACCGAATACTAGTATGAATAATTCATTAAGTTGAAAAAAGTTATGATCACATTAGAATAATTTGATGTGTGAATCTTGGCAAACATTCAATAAAGAAAACATCTTCCGATTTAATTATATTAGAAAAAAGTGAAACTCAATTTCTGGAGATCTTTTCTCAGATATGAATGGACGTCGAGAAGTCAACAATAGTATGCATGGACATAACATGTACAGCATGAATCTTCCTATTGGAAGATTACTTGTGCAAGAGCACTTTCTTGAAGGTTATTCCCCATTTCCATTTTCAATTTTATCGTTTGAAGATATGAATTTGTTTTACATTAAAATTAAACAAGAAAGCAAGAACAACATAAAATATTCAGGAATGTATTCTATATTCAGGGACGACAGTGCAAACCAACATACACCTTCCGAAAAATGCAAAACGAAAACCATTGGATAACCCAGGATATGAAAACACTTTGAGTCGAAGAGATCGCCCCTATAAAAAGAAAAAAGAAATCAAACCATGCCACTAATATTGAAAGCTGTAAGGGACTTAAAGAGGCAGTATCTACGAAAGTCATGATTTTTACAGTATTGCTAATTTTGTTTAAATGAAACTCTTTTTTTTTCGAAATTATATTTGATTCTAAAGTAAATGTCTATGAAAGTGTAGATGTCTTTCTTCTAAAGAAGCATTAAAATTTAGAGTAGTAGGTGGTACGAACAATATAGCTAGCTAAAGCTCTCACTTGTGTGACAGTAACATAGAATCCTATTATATTGACAACAATGTGTCTATTCTGAAGGTATACTGAATATTTACGCAAACATAGGTACAGACATGTTTGATCATGTCTTTTTTGTCTGCCTGTTACGATAAATCTGTCGTATTCGACAAACATTGTCAACTGAGTTTGATAGGCGTGAATACCAGTTTTAAAAGACTTCCGGTTTTGAAAGTAACCTTCATGATTCGCTTTTTTACATGCATAAGTATTTAGGCGTTTTGTGTTTGATAAAGTAATTAAGTGAGCTAATTTCAAATTGCTTTGATTAACGGTTATTGACAAGAAAGATAGTCTGCGTTTAATTCATCAATTAAGAAAAAGATATAAAAATACATGTTTTAGTTTCTTTCAGTCTATAAACAAAGAAAAACTTATCGTAATTGTCATGGTAGAAAGCCTAAATCAAATGACCTTCATTAGAAGTAAAACGCGCTAGGTCAATTCACATGGGATCGGTTACAGTAGCAAATCGTATAAAAGAGATTTTATTTTTAGAAAAAAAAACAGACGTTTACCCAGTCGTTTGATTTTGTGTTTGAAAATATTAATCACGAAAAGGTAGAAATTACGGACACTGCTGAACGGACAGAGTTTACTACATGTACTTTCATCAGATGACAAATGTAGTGATTTAGCAATGGTGATATTTCCCTTTTATATTTGCAATTTACCTGGATGACCTGTTTAGGAAGTACATTTATACGTATCATTGTTGGCTCGCTTTTCATAACCTCATGTTTATTATTGTGACTTCTTTGTGAACACATTTTGGTAAGCACATACGCTGACATCCTAAGATTATGTAAACACTTTTTGGGTTATAGATATCAGGTAAGTTTGTCATACATGATTTTGGATATAAATCTCAATTTGTTCACGTTTTTTACTTATAAAAATGACATATTTCCGTAATAAGATCATTTAGCAATATAACGTTTGTCCCATGTAAAGAAGTATATGCTTAGATATACTAGATATTCTCTGTATTACCGAAAAATTATTACACCAGGGTGCTCGATATCACAAACTAGTCAAAACATTTACCTAATTTTATCATCGGTACAAGGACATCATTCGTAAATATAAATCAACATGCAGACATCTTATACGTTCAGGTATTTCACATCCAATATTTTATGGTAATATTCTTTACAAAGCACAAAAATGTCGGCATTCACCTCAAAAGCTAACCAAACCTTTAAACAGACTTATTCGGAAAGGATATAGTTACGATACTGTTGTCAAGTCATTAAGGATTGCATATTTTGGTATTAATATCGATTCACTCATAGGGTCTTTGCATCGGAAATAAACACATTTATTCTAAAACCAGTTGTTGGCATGATACGGTTTATTTTCTTCTCATATATTTTATGATGGTATGATACTAAACCCCTAACGGGAGGGATTGTACTTGATTTTCATATGATGAAGACATAATCTTTCAATCAGTTTGATGGAGGTCTGGAGCTGGCATGTCAGTAACTGCTATTAGTCGTTTATTCATTTATGTATCATTGTCATTTTGCTTAGTTTTACTGTGCGTATTGCTATGTGTTTCTTTACTCTACTTTGGCTGGTGGTATAGGTTGAGGGTTGACATCTCACAAAACATGTTTAACCCCGCCGAATTTTGGCGTCTGTTCCAAGTCAGGAGCCTCTGGCCTTTGTTAGTCTTGTATGTTTTTTTAATTTTAGTTCATTTATATGTTTTGGAGTTTAGTATGACGTCCATTTTCACTGAACTAGTACACAATTTTATTTAGGGGCCAGCTGAGGACCATCTTGGATGCGGGATTTTCTCGTTGCGTTGAAGACCCATTGGTGGCCTTCGGCTGTTGTCTGCTCTTTGGTCGGGTTGTTGTCTCTTTGACATATTCCCCATTTCCATTCTCAATTTTATGGTATATCTAAAGAGTTTGTTGCTTTTTTGCGCAAGTTCATATTGTCCAAAGTTTTAATTCCATTGTTTTTATTGTATCTTGTGTAATATACTCAGTAATTTATAGTTACTATAAGTCACATTATTATTATAGTTTGAAAGGTATTTGTTATTTTGTAAACAATTATATTATTATCAGGAACGCCGAGCAATTTTGATGGGACAATCTGAAAGTGTGATAGTTCCACCTCTTTGGAATGGTTTGTTGGGATTTACCGATGATAGCATTGCAAGAAATATGATATCCACGATAGCAGAAATTGGAAAATATCAACAGATATACCACACACCGATTTCCATTGTATGTCAAAGAAGGCAACGTTCTGTATTTAAGGTAAACAATATTTTTTTTAAATACACTCACTATAAAGAGGATAACTTGTTCTAAAAATAATATTTATTTACTGAGTAAAAAATGTTCTATGTGTTATTTCCCTCCTTTGTATTGTTTAAGTTGTTCACATTATGAAAATACGAATTCAAATGTCACAAATTTTCATCGCCGTGGTTTGTGTGGTGAAAATGTTGTCATATTTTCACGAAGATATTTTTTTATTCAATGAAAGCGCGTTAAATGCAAAAACAATACGTACAAACTATTTTAATTTTAATACTTCAAAGTCTTTGGAATAGCATTACAGACAAGGATAACCATAATTTTTAATGGTCTGTCTATTTAATTTAGGAGCTCAAGACAGAAGTTGCAAGTTTAACAGGTAACACAATTATATGTATTCTTAAGAATCTTCCTTTCAAAGCTTATAGATTGTGGATTGATAAATATGATAAATAAACTGAAATTTGCTTCATTTAAGCATGATTATTTAACATGTATAGAAGACTGTTGTCATTTACATCTTACCGAGTCCGCCTTGGTCGACTTTCTCCTTTAAACTATTCACCAGCATTGCAAATGAATGTTACCAAAACCTTTTAGATAGAAGAACTGCACTAATCTCTTAGGTTAACTTGCAGGAGAATGCTAGCTAGATCGATATAACCTAGGTGTTCCTAATATTACTATATTAGTTAACTGTGAAAAACAGTGTGTGATCGGGGTCTTGTGTAGACTTGTTTTCCATATAAATTTGAACTTAAATTAAAAAAAAATAAGACTGTTTGTGTATATTTGAATTTGAGGTATTACATTACTTATAATGTAACACAACAGAGTTCAGAACATACTAAGTTATCAATAAAGACACATAGCAGACAAAATCATGACATAAAGAAAAATAAAAACACTTGTTAAAAACAATGCAATGAAAAACCAAAGATGGAGAAACAGAAACCCCACCAAACACCGGGGATGAACTGACGTGCTCAGGAAGGGTGAGCAATTCCTGTTCCATATTATGCTCATTGGAAGTAAAAAAATCAATTATAAGAAGCTATTGGTGATGTCTTAATTGAGAAAAAAGAGGACAGGAGGGCTACGACAGGTGAAATAACCGTGGTCATCTGAGACAGGGTATACATGACGTCTAAAATTAAAAAACAACGTGTTCAGGTTAAATACAAAGAGTAAAATAGAAGCGCATACCATCAAAATAATTTAACGCCATGTTTGGCTATATGAACAAGTATCAAGAGATGTCTTATGTAAATACTTATCTTAAAAAGCATGACGTTGTGCAGTAAATTTCCCACTCAGAAATAAGTTTTAAAAAAATAATTTTATGTTTTATTTCTTTAAAACGGTGGTTTTCATGATATGTAGAACACCTTACAGCTTAAACCTTTCACATACCTATCAATTATGTCTATAAAAAAACAGCTGTATTACAGTGGATTCATTATTTTTCATTGGCTACCACTTTTCGTAGATTTGATAGGTATAGATAAACCACGAATTATCCACGAAAATACAAGTTTATCTCAATCCACGAAAATTAGTCTCCAATAAATGAATCAACAGTACCTTTTTTTAAAGCCAAATGTGACTCATAGCGCACCTGGCCTGCTTGTATGAAAATGCACGTACAGAATAAGGATAAAAGCATACAACCGAGTACTTGACGGTTGATAGACTCGGGATCAGAAGAATTCACCAGCGGGGTATCGACCAAGTAGTAATTATAAATAATCGCAGCATTTTGTACCATTTATAAGATACACATTCTCTCTGAATAAAGTTCTCCGTCTGATTGGTGCTCATTACAAATCAAAATATTATGAAACACCCGTAGTTATACACTCAATACTTTGGTTGTGAAAATATTATGGATGAAATTGTGACCTGTATTATCAAAATATTTCATGAACCAATACTTCTAAAAACATACATCTATTACAATACATCGTAATTTTTACATACATTTTGTTCCATAAAAAGCTTTGAAGCAGAATGTGATCTATCAAATACAAAACAATAATTATGTAAATAATTAATAAAACAGATAAAGGACTAAATAAAGTTATTAATGCAAAGTATATACTGGTTTAGCAATGTTTTAAAAAGGATATATTTGGTGACAAGTGCAAATAAAACAATGCATTTTCATCTTGTTTGATAATTTGTAGGGCATCTGTTTATAGATATGTATAAGGGTGATCTCATAACTCCTCCGTACTGGACTAAATACGATCAAACAAAAACATCAAGGAAATGGAACTGCCTCTCGATATCTTCTAGGTGTTGGAATCAAGTTCAAATAAGCCAAGAAGAACGTTCTTCAATCAAAACAATTGTTAAAGATACATGGGTGAAGCAGTTTGCTGGACACGGTCGCGATTCATGTGGACTGAAAACCTTAAATAACACTACCGTACACATAGAAAGAATCAAGAAATCCCTATTAGCAGAACGGTATTTCGATTGCAGATCACTAATGTTTCATAAGGTGGGAAAATTAATGAGAACTTTTGCAAAACTTAAAGAGATATCATGTGAAACAAGTGGCGCCACTTTGAATACAGAAAAAACACACAAAACCTTTCCACGCAAAATGTGCCATGTAGTAAATGAACATTATTTATCTAATGGTACAATTGTTGGATGTATAGATGCTAAAACGGCTAAGGGTTTTGATAATAGACGGACTGAAAACGGTTTGTTTGAACCAGGTGTTTTTTGTGCTGATTTTCAAACAAAAAGCTATCAATATGCAGGTTAGTACATTTTGTAATTTACATTTATGTAGACCTTGTCGAAAGAAAAAGCCATATATGTGTATAACATGCTTCTACACACCCATATTTATTAATTACAAATTAGTAAAGTAGTATGTGATCACAGTATCAGGAGATATCGAAAATGAAAAGAAATGCCTCGATCTTAATCTGAAACAAAAAAAAGAAATATATAACGGAGATATAACACCCATAGTAAAACTAATTAGAGACATTCTTTGGAAAAGGAAATAGAGCGCACCACAATATCTGTTTGACTCCTCCGGGATTATTTAATTTTTCAAAGGTGTACCTACAGTTTTATATTTGCTGTGAGAACTTAAAGACATGAAGAATTTGCAGTGCCTGTCTATTGATAATTTTTTTATAGCTTTGTAGTTTGGTTGCTTTTTTCGTTTTGGTTCGATTTCTTTTTCTGTCTGTGTTCCTTGTTCTGTGGCCAATCATTTCGGAATTGGATTGCTATTAATATAGTCGTACAATTGTTTGACATTGTGTTTCGACCGGAACTCTGTCAACTAATCTTTTTTTTATATAGAACCTGACGATAATTAAAATTAACATACATTCCACGGACGAAGCTATAAAAACATATTTCCTGTCGGTTTCTGTAAAGATTTCAAGTAGAAATAATCGTTTGGTCTTGGCTAAAAAATATCCCCTTTACTTGGATTTTTATACACATAGGGTAATCCTATTTAAATATAGAACGATGGATTCCAAAAAAAAAATACCTTTCAACAATCTTCACCGATATCAAAGAACCACTGTTGTTTATAGTTTATAATTGTTTTAAGAGAAACCCTCCCCCGGTCCCCGACACATGATTTTAATTTGTTCAGTATGTCAAAATACTGCGTTTAAGGACGTAAATGATCACATTTGTTAAATATCAAAATTAATGTGAATTTTAATTAACAGAAACAAAGAAATTAAATATGAAAAAAGAATAATTCACGTTTTTAGCTGTAAAACTATTGCTATCGATATTCAATTTTCCAAAGTATAAATAATGACAATCACGATCAAAGTAAGCCTTCATTAAAAAATTGCCAAGTCGTTATTCAACTGTTTCAAGCTATTTTGCAACTTTCAATCTTTCGTTAGATTTTTTGACAATATACGCGTTCACATCAAGTTTAACAATTCTTGGAATTGCATTTATCTCTAAGGTTTTTTTTTCACTTGCGTGTGTACTTAAATAATGTAACACAATGTGAATGTCCTTTGTTTCTAACCTGTTTGAAATTGATAACTTAACCTAAAACAAGCACACACTAGGTAAATAACATAAATGGTTACACCCGGATCTCCAATGACTATAGCTTGAAATATTTTTATTGTGTTTATGCAACTGACGGGGAACTAAGTACTGTACGATTAGTGGAAAAAAACTTTTAAATATCAATAGGATTCGTAGTCTCTATATAATTATATTGTACATCAGTCTCAATTGTCTTTTTTCGTAGGCCAAATCAACTTCTTGTTTGCACTTGCGGGATTTGAATTCGTGTTGAATCATATTTTCAATGTAAATAAGAAAGGAGCAACAGTTTGTATCAGAGTGCTCTGAATTTTAACAATTTTTAAATTTCCTGTTTTTTTAATTCCAAGGGCGAAGTGCAAATTTCAAACCCAATAAATAAATAATTTTAAAAAATTGTTTTGTATATTTCAAAAAATTCCTTTCTGCAATATCTTGTTTTCTCCCACTGCTTTTTGTTTGTTACTACCAAAAATAAATGTCTCGAATTTTGGTATGATCGAATTTCTTTTTTATCTGAACTAATCAATTGCCATTTAAAGATTTTAAATATTTTCTTTTGTCTCAAATGCATGTGGATGTTTGCAATTTCATAGAGGTTTTGACATGGGTATTCATCGCCAGTCTCTGTGTTTTTTATAGCTCAAAGATTAACCCAGATAGGACGCACATGTAACACGACGCATCTTGCTCTTTCCCACTAGATTGGATGGCATTGTCCTTACATTAGGCTGGGTAAGACTTCGTTGTGCCTTCCGTATGTTGAAGAGGTTTAACTGCAATGCCCATTGCATTTATTTTTTTTTCTAGCAGATATACTGGTAAAATTGTTTTGAATTTGAGGTTTTTATGCACTAACTACTCATCTGTATATATTATGAAGATGCTGCTCCCTGTTTGAGCTTTGTGATATTGGTAAAAGAGTAAGTTCACAAAAAACGTTAAAACTGGTTCGAAGATTTAAAAAAAAAAAGTAAAATCACAAAAATACCAAACTCCAAGGAAAATTCAAAACGGAAAGTCCCTTTTCAAATGGCAAAACACATCAAACGAATGGAAAACAACTCTCATATTTCTGACTTGGTACAGGCATTTCCTTATGTAGAAATATATTCTAATAAGGCCAAAAAACTACACATTGTAAACCTACTTGTGATATCACTATAAGTACAAAATAACATATTTATGGCAAATCACATTGTTGATTGTTGTGACCACTTAATTATGCATTGTGTGTGTTGTAACTTCATGTGTGGGTAGGGATTCAATATAAAACTTGGCACATTTTGGTAACAGAACATTTGTGATCGTAGGTTGCGGCCTTGGTTTTCCTAAAGATTTTATAGTTGGGATCATTTCTAACCTCTCTTTAAAACAGTCATAATAATTTTCTAATAATGTTCTAAACAGTTCTAGCTTAGAACAGTCTTACATTCGATAAAAGACTATCCGTTTTGAATTTTCCTTGGAGTTCGGTATTTTTGTTATTTCTACTTTTAACCCATCTGGGGAAGAACTGTCAGAATAAGTTCTTTGGTAGAATTTTCCAAAACTGTTCTAATGTAGAATTGTCAAGATACGTTCTACGCAAGAAGCGAACAATTCTGTTCTAAGATAGAACCGTCCGAATCTTTTCTAGGATAGAACTGTCAGAATCTTTTCTAAAGGAGAAAAGTTCTAAATGACGTAAATTAGAGCAGTTTCCTGATTGTGATTAAGAGAAGAGACATTTAGCTTATTTTTTTGAAAAAAAAGTAACAACGATTTCAGTCTTGAACGTATTTTTCAGTTCTGCTATATCTCCATGTTTATAATATATTTCAATCAAAAATATATACTGTAGTTTTTATTTGTATATAATAATGCTTAACAGTGAGGAAAAAAAATTTCAGAAGACTTTGGCATATGAATATCTGAAATATACAACATGCATAGAATTTTAATTATAATTTTTTTATTGATATGTATTGATTTCAAAAACAGTTTATGTGAGTAATTGAGAGATATGCAAAAAAACTGTGGAGCATGATCTGCTAATCCTTCCTGACACATGATATCTGCCCCAGATTTTAATTGGATTTGTCCTGCTCAGTCTCTAGTATTTGATGTATTGTTTGTGGACTTCATTATGTCTTTCGCCGTTTTTCATTTTGAGCAGGATTTTGTGCTTTTTTCTTCGACTGAAGAGTTTTCGTTCTCCCTTAAGTATCTTCTGTCTCTTTTTTTTTACTGAGTTTAGATGGTGTGTCTGTTAGTCATCTTTTAGTTTTTCTATGTAGTACTTTGTGGATCGTCGTTTGTCAATCGTCGATTTTCATCGTTATTGTGTTGTCTGCTTTCGTCGACGTGTTGGTTTGATTGTTCTCTTGGTATATTTTCTTTTCCTCTTTTACACTAGAAATTTGATTTCTTTTTCCCTAAAAAACATATATGAAAATGTGTCTTAAACGTTTTGTAAAAAGCGTCTGAAAATCTCAGATCCTAGTATAACATATTGCAGTAAAGACAAAGACTACTTACATGTATTTCAAATTCACAATTTTCCATAGATCAAATCTCCACATTTGGTGGAGAGGTACGAAAAACATGGCCGTCGCCAAAACCTGCATCTCGGCAAGAGGATAACTCTGCTAAACATGAGAACTCCGATTCCTTTATAGATATTGGTAATATCTCTGTAGGCATCATAACTGGTAACATGGAGGAGCAAGAGGTAACTATCTGAGTATAAAACTGACTCATTTAATATTATTGCAACTAAATTACGTTGTAATTGCTGCATTAAACTTATTAATTAAAAATTTGATTTCAATTTTGGATTATATTGTATTTTGATAATTGAGTAAAATGCAGATTCTTTGCATTTTTATCTTTGTTCAATTTTTATAGAGGCTCATTACACACAAATAACTAGCCAAGCTTTACTTTTTTCTGAATCATTGAAAAGTAAAGCTTGGCTAGTTACTTGCATAATGAATATCTATGAAAATAAAAAAAAAATATATTTCTCAGTACGATTTCGTTCTATCTTTCATAATGAGTTAAAAGAAAATCAACAGTTCACATAACACAAGATAGAAAACTAAAGACTAAGCAACAAGAACCGGAGGGATCTCAAGTGCTGTGGAAGGGCTAGCAAATCCTGATCTGCATGTGACACCTGTTGTGTTTCTTCTATAAAATACGTTGATAAGTAATTTCAAGTGATTAGTGGTTGAAAGTCAACAAAATTGAACTTGATTTAACTTTATATCCGTCCTTACGATTAAATTGAACAAGTTTTCAATTGTTCGTAATTACATTAACTGATAGATACATGTACTCTCGAGCCTATTTTAAGATTTTAAATTACTCCTTCTAATCAAACTATTGGAAAAGTGGCCAATAATTCACGTAATGCTCAATCAGCTGAATAAAGGCAACAGTAGTATACCGCTGTTCGAAATTCATAAATCGATTGAGAAAAAAACAAATCTGGGTTACAAACTAAAACTGAGGGAAACACATTAAATATAAGAGGAGAACTACGACACAACAGAAACACATTAAAATGTAACACACACAGAAACGAACTATAATATAACAATGGCCATTTTCTTGACTTGGTACAGGACATTTTAAGAAAAAAATAATACGTTTTTAGCAATTTGACAGTTATTTTCCATTCGTTTGATATATTTGAGCTTTTGATTTTGCCATTTGATAACTTGAGGTACTTTCCGTTTTGAATCTTCCTTGGAGTTCGGTATTTTTTTTATTTTACTTTTTAGTTCTTCTTTCAAACATCTTTTAACATGATTGAATCTGCAAACTGATTGTTGATCACAGCACAACATTTGAGATAAACATTTCAGACTGACATCATTATGAACAGCGTTGCTCCAGATCTCAACTTAACAAAAGGTGCGGGATCAAATGCCATTTCGGAATTTGGCGGTTCAGAAATACAGAAGGAATGTGATGATAGATATTCAGACGGAATATCCTTTGGTGATGCAGCTATAACTTCTGGAGGGCAGCTCACGTAGCACTTCCTCAATGGAATGAAAATGAACAGGTATGGGAAATACGTTATTTGCCAATAAAAACTAAGTAAGATAAGAAGATTGCAGATTGTTTACTTGTATAATGGGATTCGGTAGATATTTTGCCAACAGTGGCTATTATCATAATTGGTTATATTTATGTCGGAAAACGAGTAAACGAATTTGTCTACACTTGATTATTATAATTGATTGATTTATTAGTACTGCACATACTTTATTATTGATTATTACACTGCACAAAAGAGTCAAGCAGCAAATACCGAGGTGTTAACCAAAAACCAATAATTCTATGAAAAACAGACAATACCATAAAAAAAAAACGAACAGACGAACAGATAAACAGTAATCCAAATAACATAACACGAACACACAGAAACTCTCCTAAAAGCTGGAATGAACTCATGTGCACTGGTAGGCTTTAGCAGTAGAAGTGCTTTTACCCAAACTAATCGGCCTTTTTAAATGTATTATTGCTCTGTTGTTTGAATTACATCCACCTATAATGATTATGTTATTCAACCATATTAATTAATTATAGAATAACTTATCGAAGAATTCAAGTATAGAAAAATATTCAACGAGTGACCGAACAACACATTTATTCACAAATGCGCGTAGTGTTTTTCGGTCGAGTTGAATATTTTTCGATATTTGAAATCTTTGTTTAGTTATTCTTTTTATTCTTATTACTTTGGTATATTATAATTGATAGCAGGTCATTATTTATGGATCTGTTACAGTAGCTGCTCTCTACATTTTTACTTGTATATAAAAGAATTTAATCTGATGTTGTTTTTTTTTACAAATAACTTGTAATGTAAGTTAATAACTATTCAAGAGGGTATACCTTCTTTAAATGTTTTAACTTCATTCCAATAAGGAAGAAATCATTGAAATCCTAGACTCACATATGTGTTACCGTGACGTTAACAATAGTTATATTTGGGGAAATCTTGTGACACGCATACTGATATGCAACCTACCTCCATGATTGCATGTCATGGTTATGTATCATTGCTGGGTAGCTTTAAAGACCTTACATAAAAATAAGAAAACAACTATCCACAAGTTACCAAATGACTTAGAATATGACAAATTTAGCATGATTGGGTCATCGTAAGGTATTCAACAATGAGCAAAAGCCATACCGTATGTGTGTACTATTTCGATTTTCATTTTAGAGCATACTCATTTTCACATATGCATTTATTTAGTTCCGATATAGTCTTTTTGTCATGCTCGATCCCATATAACACGCAACATTCACGTTATATAAAGTCTGAAATCTATGTTGTGTTGGAATCAATACAGCGTCGTTTGCATTAAAATATCAACTTATAAGTAGTAACTTCATAGTTTGGGAATCATCATGATAAGGGGACCAAAGAGGAAAATGTGGTCGAATATTTTAAGTGGAAATGTATTCAAATAATTGCAAATGCTTAATTGGCATGTGTAAAAATAAGACAAATGCATAGCAAAATGTCATGTGATACGACTTTAATTTAACTTAAAATTAAGAAATAATTCATGGAAGCCATAGATTTGTTGGAAATTTACACATGGCCTGGGTCGTGATATTCGAATTTTATCCTAAGCGTTAGCGAGGGATAAAATTAACGAATATCACGACCCAGGCCATGTGTAAATTTACACCAAATCTATGGCTTCCATGAATTATTTCGATTCCAATAGGACAAATACGGTCATTAAAAAACTGAAGCGAGAGTGGGTATGCCGTTTGTGGGGCTGTTCATTTTTACTCCCTGTTAGATAAAGCTAAAACAGTCTAATAAATCTGTAGCTTGCATAAATTATTTCGTAAATAACAGCTAGAAAAATTGTTTTTAATTCTTTTTATTTTCAAAGCCAACATTTGCCATTTTTAATTTACATGTTTTTCTCGTAAGCTACCGTCAAATCCAAAGTTGACATTTCGTTACTAAGGAGCCGCCATGTTGACTTGCTGAAATCAGTAAATAGGCGAATAATGCAATAGAATAGAAAATAAAACAAAACCTACCTCAGAAATCCATTTTAATACAATATAATACGAAGTTCGATGGTTCACGTAACGGAAACTCTTCAACTCTAGCGTTTTCATTTGTATGACGTCATGTTTTGAAATGACTTAAATGCGCCAAAAACATTAATAGACTTTCGTGGAATTTTATTTTATTTTGATTTTGTTGATTTCTCTGTGCACTTGTGCATTAATTCTTTTTATTATGCATCCGAATAAGAATAAAAGTTCTTTTGTCTTTTTTTAATTGCAATTTTTAAAACAATAAAATCGGCAAAGTGTTTGCAAATAGGTTCCAATACATGTGGATTTACGTGGGAGGTATATTGTAACATCCGTTATTATGTATATCTCTGAGTCTGCGCTAAGTATAGATATATCGAGAATTTTATCACGGTGTTGTTTACAAAGCGAAAGAAGCACGTCATATTAGAATAGTGCACAAACAACTTTATCTTCTATTATTATAATGTTAATAAATTAAGTGATACTTTTTCATCTATCGGTATCAAACAAGTATGTAACAAACGATAAAAAACCTATTTCTATAATAACTTAAAGTTCTTTCACCTACTCACCAAATTTGACTCAATTTTGTATTCGACCACTAGCAATATTGCGAATATACAAATACAATAGAACGTGCATATTCGTAAGTTTATATTAACTTAAGGTGAAGCTATTAAGTGAATTGATGTATCTTGTTTCAGGATTATGCTCCGGAATCCTTTCTTATTCTAGTTTGTGTATCTGTTATAATGTATATGCCTTTTATTTTTCAGGAATTACAAAAACTCATGAAAAAATGTTTCAATTATATTGCGAAGTCTAACGAAAAGATAAAGAGTGTTGTAATACCACCACTTGGTCATGGGATTTGGGGATTTCCAGACGATGTAATCGCTAAACACATGATATCCACAATTATAGAACTAGCGGAAGATTCACAAATACATCATTTATCAGTAAACATTGTATGTCACAGAAGGGAACATTCCGTATTTAAGGTGAGCAAAACATTGTATTTCACAGAAGGGAACATTCCGTATTTAAGGTGAGCAAAAAAAAAAAAAAAGAAAAGGAACAAGTCATTATGATAACAGTAATCATAAAAATGTAAATCTAAAATTGCAAACAATATATTTTTTATACTGATTATAACCTTATATTTATTTCTTTATTAACTAAAATTCAATATCTTCAAACGCCTTATAGTCAAGGGTTTTTAATCATTCTGAAACAAATATGGATGCATAGTAAATTGAAAAACTATTGAATACAAATGTGTAATCTATCATGACAGCAAACATAAAGTGACTGAACAGCTGATGTCAAAAATTGCTTACACACTACGACTCAACATTATTAGGCTGCAGACAAAATATGAAAGAAATCCATTCCGTAGATGCGAAAAAAAAAATCATTTTGACCAAAATGTTCCTTATGCAATGAGTGTTGTAAAATTTAAAACTATCAGCAAACAGGAAGTGGCTGCATGGCAGATGTTAAAATTGCTTACGACCCCAGTTTTTGGTGGGGGTTCGTGTTGCACAGTCTTTAGTTTTCTATGTTGTGTTTTGTGTACTGTTGTTTGTCTGTTTGTCTGTTTGTCTCTTTCTTTTTTAGCCATGGCGTTGTCAGTTTATTTTCTACTTACGAGTTTGAATGTTCCTTTGGTATATTTCTCCTCTCTTTTACACGCTACAACCTCATATCATTAAGCTGCAGACCAAACATAAAAATATTCCTTGTCATAGAAGCCAAGAAAAATTTGACGAAAGTTTTCTATCAAAGGTCTTTTGGGCAGACGGAAAGACCTAACTAAACCTGATTTCGCCGTTGCTGACCCAGTTAATAAGAAAAAACCGAAAACAGTTCGAAGATTAAAAAAGGGAAATAGGTTGTATATCTGTTCATTTTAAATTTTTATGAACTACCTTCTTCCCAGACCGAGTGTTTATTTAATGAAACAGTATAGTTTATTTTCCTTTGTAAGCAGCATAGTGCATAGTTTGGTGTTTATTTAAATAACGTTTAAGCAAGTAATGAGATTTTTTATATTTAAATATTTTTTCAATATTACTTCTGGTAAAATTTAAGAATCTGATAAAAGGGCTCATATTAACAACACCCAAAAATAAAGAAAACCAAACAAATACTCTACTATATAGATATAAAAAGATGTGGTATGAGTGCCAATGAGACAACTCTCCATCCAAGTCAAAATTTATAAAAGTAAACCATTATAGGTCAAAGTACGGTCTTCAACACGGAGCCTTGGCTCACACCGAACAGTAAGCTATAAAGGGCCCCCAAAATTACTAGTGTAAAACCATTCAAACGGGAAAACCAACGGTCTAATCTATATAAAAAACGAAAAACGAGAAACACTTATGAACCACATCAACAAACGACAACTACTGAACATCTGATTAGTTTATATAGAGGGATAAACGCTCCAAAGTATGTTTCTTTCCCACACTTGCTTATTTTCCTGCCTGAAGCCAAGCACTTGTAGTCGAAGAGAGGCGAATCTTACCAAAGGGACATTCAAACTCTTAAGTCGAAAATAAACTGGCAACGCCATGGCAAAAAAAATGAAAAAACCAAAAGACAAACAATTGTATACAAAACACAAGTCAAGTGGTTTTCTTTGATTACCTTCTGCCCTGAAACAGATTGTTTAACCCTTTAAATTTAATTCGATCATAGTTTGTTTTACCTTTTACTGCTTTATGGGGTTCTTTTATAGTTGTCATGAGGTATGAGTTTGGTTCACCATTTAGGTCTTTTGGAAAGCTGTACCTGTTTACGTCCTTTTTGGGTATTTGTTCTATGATGAATAGTTGTCTCTTTGACAATTATACCACATCTTGTTTAATCTAAGAATTAAATGCTTCTTTTCAAAATTTTATTGGGGTGTAAAAGCGTTGACTGAATAACATTTTGTATGAAGCGGGAAACATTTGAAAAATGTGTGCACGATCAACGCTTTTTAGCCCTATAAAATTAAAAAAAGAAGCATTCAATTCTTATAATTACTTTTTTATGCTACAACCATGAATTTACGAGTTATAGCAAGCTTTTCTTTTGTTTTATTTTAACACTGTCACGGATAACACGTGCATTCATAGCTGTTGTATTTTATACGGAAAAAATATGATATTTGAGCGCCTCTCGATTGTGGTCAGATAATCAAAATTATGTATTCTAATGAAACATACATGTAATTTAATTAATAATAGATATTTACAAAGTATATTCTAATAATTGAAAACTATTACGTGTAAAGATTAGTTTTCCTGTTTGAAGTTACGCCTATTGTATCGCTTTCTTACTTCAGGTGCTGATAAAAGAAGTTAGAATGTTAACAGGTAAAAGAAAAATATCTTTCATTCACGAATATCTGAGATACTTATATTTATCTTTTACATTAGGCGAAACGCAATAAACATGGTTCTTTATCAGATTTAAAATGCAAATTGTATATTAAGGAACGAATGCATTTTAGCTAGGAAGAAGACGGGTTTTTATTGTTACTTTCATATTTAAACGCTTAATAGTATGATGAGGAGACTGTTTATATTACTAACCAAATCTGCCCCTTTGCAATTTTTATCGGAATCATTGAATAAACACTCAAATGAATGAATGCGATAATGGGGAATGAGGAATGACTTTTGATGTAATGAGGAATGGTGTAAATAAACAGTATCGCACGTTTTTGCTGTTATAAATCTTGGAAATTATTTAAAGTCAAGAAATATATCTCCCTCGTGCAAAGCTCTAATTCCTTGTTCGCATTTGGCTATACTTTAGGTCCTTTGTTTATATTACTAACCAAATCTGCCCCTTTGCAATTCTTATCGGAATCATTGAATAAACACTCAAATGAATGAATGCGATAATGGGGAATGAGGAATGACTTTTGATGTAATGAGGAATGGTGTAAATAAACAGTATCGCACGTTTTTGCTGTTATAAATCTTGGAAATTATTTAAAGTCAAGAAATATATCTCCCTCTTGCAAAGCTCTAATTCATTGTTCGCATTTGGCTATACTTTAGGTCTATTTTAATTTGATTTGCTCTTCAAAGTTTGTTTAGTGTTTTGGTTTTCAAATATATTGACCTCGAGCATCACTGAAGAGACATTAATTGTCGAAATGCGCATCTAGTACAAAGAAAAAAGTACCGTTCATGTTTATTTATGGAACGTTTAGTTTGTTTCATTTCAATTTTTGGATCGCCAAAAAAAAAATCCACACACACACTGAGAGAAAGCTGTATCAATTGATTCGAAATTTACACCACGAATTTTTATTGATGACATAAATCTTTTATAAATCATCATGGAAAGAAATTAGATATCAACTACCTGCAATTTTTGTAACACACGTTTACAACTTATACTTCTAACCCAATTCACACTTCGTTCTCAGTAGTGACATACACATACACACGGAAGGTTTAGCCATTGTAGTGAATAACAATATACTAACCAAGTATATTGCAGTTTACTGTAAAAATAAAATACGGTGAAACCATGTAAAAAGTAAAACAACAAAAATACCTAAGAAAATTCAAAACGGAAAGTCCCTTATCAAATGGCAAAATCAAAAGTTCAAACACATCAAACGAATGAAAAACAACTGTCATATTCCTGACTTGGTACATGCATTTCCTTGTGTAGAAAATGGTAGATTAAAACTTGTTTTATAGCTAGCTGAACCTCTCACTTGTATGACAGTCGCATAAAATTCCATTATATTGACAACAATGTGTGAACAAAACAAACAGACATAATAGGTAAAAATGTCAAAAATAGGGGTACAGCAGACAACATTGTGTTATAATCTTAATCACTATAAAAATAAAGAAATGTAACTTTCTCTACGTTTAATGTATAATTCATTTTTATATGCTTAAGCTTGTGTCAGTTATATAATATTTAACATATGGCATAGCAAACCGTTTTGGAGCGATACAACTGCTCGTTTTAATGTCAATTCAACCTTAAATCTGTCATGAAGAAATACGACTGTCAGTTTCTCTGAAAATAAATTTTATGATTGATAATGTTGATATCATGATATCATGGATGTTTCAAAGGAGAAAGATCAGCGGTGAATGTTATTGGGAATGATAAAATGTATTATCAGGAATGGTCTCTCGCTTTATTTGGATTTCATGCGGACCTCTCAGTTTTTGTCATGGTCAGTATTTTCAAAATTGATTTAAACGATTTGAACTTCGCCAATAAGTAATATAGTTTGCAGTAAGTTCTGATTAAAAATACCAAAGATGATCCGCGATATTACTTTTCGTTAGAATTTAATATCTTTTATTTCATTTTGTTCGTTTTAAAATTTCCACTCTTTATATATGTCTATATATACTTGTATTTCAAATCCCCTCACTACATGTTTAAGCAAGTTGCATATGACTAAGGGTAATTGCGAACGCTGCTAATGGTAAATGATTGAATTATGAATAATGCAAGAGGAATAAATAATGTAGTGTGATTAAAAGGAAACTTTGTATAGGTAATGACCAATCGTGTAAAAAACTCACCAAAGATACAGGCTTATAATTGTGTACGCCAGACGTGCGTTTCGTCTTCAAAAAACTCATCAGTGACGTTCGAATCAAAACAGTTAAAAGGCCAAGTAAAGTACGAAGTTGAAGAGCATTGAGGGTCAAAAATTCCGAAAGGTTTTGTCAAATACAGCTAAGGCAATATATTCCTATACAAAGGGGGACGCCATCGGTAAAAGGTAACACAGATTTAGGTCTATCAAACGGACGACATTTCAAGAACTATGCTCTTTTTGAAATTAAACAAATGATATCACATTTTTGTACTTCAATTTATATACATGTACTAGTAAATTAATATATTGAAGACTATATATTATTTTGCTTTATTTATTTTTTAGAACAACTTTATATGGAAATGTATAAATCTGATTTAAAAGCACCTTTGTACTGGACAATGTTCGACCATACAAAAACCTTTAAGGAATGGAACTGTCAGTCGATAACTAAAAAGTGTTTGGAACTAGTTCAGGTCAGCCAAAGAGAACGTTTTGCAATTGAAAGTCTTGTTAAAAAAACATGGAAAGCGGAATTCGTTGGAATAGGTCGCGATTCACGTGGAATTGAAGCCTTAAATTATAGGGACATAAAAATTCTTAATGTAGAAAGAATTGAAAACCCTTCATTAGCAGAAAATTATTTCCAATGCAGAGCAAGAATGGTTTATAAAGTCGGACAGTTTAAAAGGCATCTTCCAAAACTCGAAGACATACGATGCTCAAGTTGACCCATTTTAACTTCCCGTAAAGCCAACAACATCTTAAAACGTGGAATGATCCAAATGGTTAACGAACATTATTTATTCCACGGTACAACCGTGAACCTGATAAATAATATAGCAAATCAGGGTTTTGATCACAGATTGAGTAATGGTATGCTTGGACCAGGTATTTATGCAGCTGAAAGTCCGACTAAATGTGATCAATGTACAGGTAATTACATTTTAAAAATGTTTTTTTCGTAAAAACAACAAAATGAGTACGAGTAATATGATTATGAAGGAATTTTTAAAACTATCTTGTGAGCTCACTTTCATATATTCATTAACATCAAGGAATCAAAGGCCTTATGGCGTTTACATATCTCAGTTAATTCGTAACACTCGTGCATGATTATAGCATACGGACGACATCAACAAGTGTGTGCTACTTACACAAAAAATGCTCCAACAGAGTAATGAGGAAGAAAAAGTGAAATCGACACTACATAAGTTTAACGGTTAACTAAAACGATGCGTCGGTGTTTCAACCAACTCACCAGCGACATGTTTTATGCGGTCTTAGATCTTTGGATACCAGTATTGTCGTCTGATCTGTAATTTTATCAATTGAGTACTATTCCCGATTGAGAAATTTTGACTGAGTGTGAATTCGCATGGCGTGTGATGCATGTATAGCAGGAGAACCATACCCGGTCTCGCTCCTTTTGGAGTTTGTGTGACTCCCTCAGTTTTTGTTTGTGACCTTGATTTGTCAGTTGCTAATCGATTTACGGGATTTGAGCATCGGTAAACTACTGTCGCCTAAATTTATATGTTTATACCATATTTGATGTCAAAATCGGTACATTTAAGGTAAAGAAAGATGCCCGCTTTCTTAGTTACATCTGTCGTTTTGGTAGTTGCAAGAAATAATCTATAAGTCAAGTTCGGTGATAATGCAAACGAGAAAAAGACAGGAAGTTTAACTACAATTAGTGAAACATATCGGCGGTTATCTGTGACACATGTATTCAATAACGGTCGGTCAAATCATGATGACGTCTTTCGTTTACCCCTAAGCCGGGAATTCACTCCTAAGAAATACTCGTATCCTACAAATTTTTATCTTATCAAGTTATTGTTTGCAGAATATTGAAGTAGTTCTATTATTTGAAACCAAAAATAAAATGTTTGAATAGCCAGTTTTTCTGTTTTTCAATCTTTTGATCTCCACACTCATCTATCACTGAAATAAAATAAAATAACTATTGAGATCTAAAATAATGACTACCATGTATCTGTTACGGGAATGACATACATACCCTTATAACGAAATTATCATTTAACTAATAATGTACTCTTGATGTACATTTTCAAAATTGTCTAATAGGGTTAGTAAATGATGTCAAATAATAAGTTGTTTGCTCTGTTCTGTAAAAAAACAAACTATGTGTGCAAAAAGACCTCTACGACTAACAATACCGCAAATCTACATGCTGGACCAAACTCGATAATACTTAACTAATTTCTTAAAGTTATTCTATATCAAAAACCTGTACATGAAGTATAACAAATCATTTGACAGTAGTGAAATTAAAATCCAACAACTGTTTAGTTTGGAGTCTTAAAAGGAGGAAGAAGATACCAAACTCATAAGTCGAAGACAAACTGACAACGACGTTGCAAAATGTTTACACAACTAATTTCAAAACTTTAATCAAATAAAAATTTTCAGGAGAGAAATAAGGATTGAATAAGTCTAGAATATTAAACAATTTTGAACATGAATATTTTTACGTAAAAACTATTCACCATTATTAATATTTAAGTAACAATATGCGACTACCATTTCCTTCGTCATTTTGGTTGTAGTCATATTTTTGTTTATTTGGTGCATCTGTGCGTCTTTGTTATAATTGATATCCTGCTTTGGGCCCCGTAATTTGGTCAATAAAAAAATTAGAATTTGAATTAAGATGTTTTGGCTAAAATTAAACGCAGTAAAAATTAACATTGGCCAAAGGTAAAAATAAGATGTTTTATATTTAACTATATGATATTTATAATATGAAAATAATACATTATAGATTTATGTGTCAAAAACAACACTCAAACCAAAACATTAACAGCAATGTTACGATTTTAAAACACATAGAAAGCTATACTAGTATGCCCAAAAGAGACACAAAAAGAACAGTTTAAATAATCTAAGGCATACCTTGCCTGAAGGAGTTGGAACCTTAGTTTCTAAATAATCTCTAAATTCATTAACAGATAATTTAGAAAAGTCATGTTTTGACAATATATTTGTTACGTTTGGAGGACGTGTTTTTTCAACAAGCATCGACATTCCCATTAGAACCAAATGTTCTCCTCTTTTTGTAGACTTGTTCTATTATTCATAATCCATCATATATACCAGAATTTAAATTTTGCACGCCATGTGAGGCTGACTTTATGCAGGAGCTTCTTATGAAGAATTATAAGAAGCTAGCATCATCTTTTAAATTCACGTTCCGCTATATAATGTCCTCTCACTAAATAATTCAGAGTTTGGTGACTATGTTGAACGCATATATATCCCATCGAAACTGAAATAAAAGATACTACAGATACAATGTAGCTTCATATCTTGTCTTATATCTAGAAATTTACAATGAGGTCTGTTGAGAACAAAACTTTACGACAAAACAGATGATTTCAGCTTCCCAATTGTGAATTTTCTATGTAGCAAAATTCCAGCAGCTCCTGCATATTGAGTAAATATCTCCCAATTGATGCAATATTCCAGAGCTTGAAATTACTATAATGATTTCCTTGAAAGCAGCAACTTGCTGCTTACAAGGAAGCTATTGAACCAAAATTTCGTAGTGGTGAAGTTTGATTGTGTTAGAACTATTCTCTCGTCAGAATTCCTGTTTTATGTATCTTTGAGTATGATTAATATGTTGCATAATATAATGTTTTCATCATGACGGCAGGAAATTGCAAAAGTACATGTCCTATTTATTTTTTCCAGATCCCAAATGGCAGCGAGATAAGAAGTCAGAAAAGAAAATGATTCTTACTAGAATGCTTCTTGGAGAGATTTTCGTGACGGACACACCGTATTCATTTCGAAGACCTCCATGCAAAACCTGCAAGGAAGATAAATGTTGTGAATCGTTACACAATTCTCAAGGGAATGGATTTTATGATTCCGTAGTTGCTGATGGACAGTGGAACTTTAGAGAATTTATTGTGTATAAAAGTAGTCAGTGCTACCCAGAATACATTATTACATACCAAAGAAAATAAAAACAGCATAATAAGAGTCGGAGGCCTAAGCAAGCAATTAAATCTGATACCATAACCAAATTTTGGAAAAAAAACGATGAAAACTGAACCACAAGCTGATCATAAAACCAGTTGGGGTAAATTGGAATCTAGAAAAATGACAGAGAAAAATATCAATAGTACGGGATCGTAACAGTGTTTTCGTAATTATTAAGAAAAAACTCTTGCGGAAGCCACATGTTGTACAAAATATAGTGTTAAGTTATAATCCACAAGTCCGTTCTCTTTCTTTTTGAATATGACCTAACGTCATACTGTTATCACGGTTTTTTTTTTACATAAGCAACACAACTGGTACCACATGTGGAGCAGGATGTGCATACCCGTCTGGAGCACCTGTGATCCCCCCTGATTTTGAAGGGGTTCCTGTCGGTCAGTCTTTAATTTTCTATGGTGTGATTTTCGTTTGGTCGTTTTTCGGTTTTTGCCTTGGATTTGTCAGTTTGTTTTCTACTTATTCATTTGAATGTCCCATTGGTATCTTTCGCCCCTCTTATATAAAAATCTAGAACTGCTGAGATCTTAATCAAAAACTAAAGATTTGGTATGAAGGAATAATTTTTTTGAAAAAGAGGTATGTTGCACTAGCTTATAAAGTTAATGAATCTGATTTCTCAACAGTTTAGAAATAAAAATTATCTATCTTTGAAGGTGTTGCGATTCCTGTGGACATAGTGAATGCTACGTTTAACGCATCATCTTATGACGGATAATAAAACTAATATGGGAACTTAGAAATGTTGACATATGTTGAAAAAAATCTGCAAAAGAAAAAAACTTTAGTGTATTAAATACATATAATCCAAAACCATTTTTGTGTTTAGATATAAAAAGAAAAACATAAAAATAAACTAGGTAATGGGTGGAATCTCCAAAGAGGGTTTCAAGTAAGGTGTATGTTGTTTTATTCATAATAAGTCAAGATTGATTTAACAATTGCTCGAAATTTTAACACTTCATCGAAACACATTAGCCTTGTATTTTGGTATGGTAATTTAGTATTACTAACTGTAACCTAATCAAAATCGTCATGTATTATTTCATTGTGATAAGACTTTTGATTTTTTTTTTTAATTTGCATATCCTGATAACACGTGATTAAATCGTTTTGGTGATCTGTTTAGAACTTTAGAACCCTAAAAGACACATATTATGAAGTGTAATAGTATATGAATTGAATTAAGTAAATGATTGAAAGACTGCTTAAAATTTAATCTTGCTGTAAAATAAAGTCAAGGGACGTTGACACTATTTCTTTGTTCCGTGTAGAGACGGTAAAATAATTGAAGTCGTAGTCTTCTTTTGTCCCAGCTTTAAAAACCAACACAAAAAAACTTCAGTAAATGAATAATCTTTCGTCTATAGTCTTTGGTAATACACATTTTTTTTATTTATGTTTAGACAACTATATATAATAGAATCAGTAGATCCGCCAACTTCAGTAATTAAACACCGCTATTTTACACAGTATTTGTTCTTATGGCAAACAGACTAGCAATGTAACGTTTTAAAACGTTAATTTGAAATAAAAGATGATTTGATATTTATTCAAATTATAAATACTTAATGCCAAAATGAAACAATAAATCTTCATCTCATAGTTTATATTATAATTGTTCAAGTTACCAAATATCTTATGAACCTGGCTATGTACACGGCTCCATAAGAAATGTGATGTTCCAAAAATAGATAGGAAAAGGCATAACATTAAAACAAACAAACAACAAATACATGTGTGGTCAATGCTGTCCATGAAGTATGGTTCAATTTATGTTTTTCGTGTCTCGTGCATTTTTTTTTAGGTCAGAGTGCTGTAAGTTGCATTTGTCACAATCATTAATCAATCATTCAACCTTTTCAACCAACATGAAAAGTGCCAGGATAATTTTTGTATGCGTTTTCTCTCTACGAATGACGTGTCTTTTTTACTCTCTGTTATTAAAAAGCTGTAAATCAAATACCAAAGTTAAAAAGAAGCATTTTAGATTTAAAAACCAGTCTTTAATAAGTCTACGTGTTCAACAGCAGATGTACACTTTAGAATAATAAAAATTATAGTAAAAACATATTTCTTTTCAAACCAAACTAACAAAAGTTCTACATATATATATGTTATAATCACTATATAATAATGTTGCCGAATCGTCTATTGCTGATATAGTACTATGGCCGATACGATCTATGGACGAAGTGGAAATATGAGCTTTAAAAAATGGCTAAAAACAGAAAGAACCTCAAAGGCTCTTTGGTTTGGCACTAGGGATTTGAATCACATAATGTCTTTGTCTGTGGGATGTCCGGTGGTAAGGCATTCCAATTCCTTAAAAGCTGCAGTACGTAGAACATCTCGTGTGCATCGATAAGTCAGTGCGGAACTTGGTATGCATTTGGATGCATGTTTTTACCTTGACGCAAGGTGGTGTGAGCCGCCCTTCTTTAGATATCGCAACTATGTTATTCTCGATTTGATAGAACATGGCTAGTCTTGTTTCCTTTCTCCGTTGTAATGATTTCCGTTGTAGGTGTCTGTGGTTTATTCTTATTTGTCGTGTATCTGTCAGCTCTTCTTTGTATTCATTCCATTTTGTAGATGGAATCTTTTGTGGCTGGGACCCAAGCAGTTAAGGCGTATTCTATCTGTGGTCTTACTCGCATGGATTCGAGAGTTAGTGGATATATATGTTTTATCAATGCTAACCTCTTACGTCATTTTGTCTTTGGTGGAGAGTTTTTTCTCACTGGAAATCATACCACATCTTCTTAATTTACAGATGACGACGGATATGTTATCGTAACCATAATCCCGTCCTCATTTTATCGAATGTGACCAACTGAATTAGACTTATAACCGGATTAGTAATTATGCATGTTATATGAGCAATACGACGGGTGCCACATGTGGAGCACCTGAGATCACCCCCGGTTTTTGGTGGAGTTCGTGTTGATCAGTCTTAAGTTTTATTTTTTGTGTTTTGTGTGCTATTTGTCTTTTCATCGTTTTTCGTTGTTTGCCATGGCATTGTCAGTTTGTTTTCAACTTATGAGTTTGAATATCTCTTTGGTATCTTTCGCCTCTCTTTAATATTTGACCTTTGTTTGTATTTAAAATATAAATGTTGATATCAATATTTCTTTGTTTTCTAGAAATGTGCAATTTACTATCCATGTCCGTATACTGTAAAATCCAATAAATATAAGTACATTTTGTCTCTTGACCTTTTTTGGTGAGTTTCTGATGTTTTCCCGCATAAAACTAAGTGTTTTGTTTGCTTTATATAGATATAAGAAGATGTGGTATGAGTGCCAATGAGACAACTCTCCATTCAAGTCAAAATTTATAAAAGTAAACCATTATAGGTAAAAGTACGGTCTTCAACACGGAGCCTTGGCTCACACCGAACAGCAAGCTATAAAGGGCCCCAAAAATCACTAGTGTAAAACCATTCAAACGGGAAAACCAACGGTCAAATCTATATAAAAAACGAGAAACGAGAAACACTTATGAACCACATCAACAAACGACAACTACTGAACAACAGATTCCTGACTTAGGACAGGTGCAAACAATTTGTCTGTTATCTGATTATGTGTTGATCCCATTTCAGGTTGTTTTGTATAGTAAGACCTTAATATTTCACCGGTCTGCCTGTTCTTCTTCTAGATTGTGGCCATGGAAATGATATGCTGATTCAATTGGTGTCATCGTGTTTGTAACCACAGGCACTTGTTTCTGAAAAAATGTACCTAGTATATAGTTTAATATAACACAAGGTACCTAACTCGTATATTTGAGAAATGTCACCCGGTCGCGAACTTCCGTTATATTTCGACTCTGTGGTTATCTATCCCACTGAAACTTGTTATGTCGTAAATCTATATTAAATTATATCCAAAATGGTGTATAACACGCCTACATGTATTTCTATTGTCAGAATCATTCGTAACAGGCCTTCCAAGTATGTCAACCGTAATAATTTCGTCTTCTGATCACAGTCGAATGGAAATGATTATTAACCTCGCAGTGAATGATTAATTATGTACTTAATTATTGCGAATCAAATGATACTTTTCCACAGATTCACTTGAAGGATACCTCTCTTTTGGTTCGTGTTTTGTAATGAACCAGTTATTTTCAGATCACAAGTTTTTGAATAAGAATAATGAATCTTCAACACAGATCATCCGTTTGGCCAAGTCAGTGGCGTAGCTAGGCCATTTTTACGTGCACGCCCGAACCTCGGCGAGGGGTCTGGGGGCCCAGCGGGTCCAGGACAGAGGACATCCTAGTAAGGTACGAAACACTCCTGCAGCTCACGCGTTATCGAGAAAGAGATACAATTTCTATTATTAAAAACTCATCAATAGCAACAACTTTACGATTATTTCATCTTCCCAATTGTAAAATTTGCATTTCTATGTAGCAACATACCAGCAGCAACTGTATATGGAGTATATATCTCCCAGCTGATACGATATTGCAGAGCTTGCATTTCCTATCATGATTTCCTTGATAGAGGGTTGCTGCCTACAAGGAAGCTATTGAACCAAAGGTCCTAATGGTGAAGTTGAAATCTTTCATTCAAAATATTTACGGCCGTCATCACGAGTTGGTTGACCGTTATGGAATAAAATTTTGAATGGAAACGGGGAATGCATCAAAGAGACAACAACCCGACCAAAGAGCAGAAAACAGCCAAACAAATGGATCTTCAACACAGCGAGAAAATCCCGCACCCGGAGGTGGGCTTCTGTTTTACAGGTGATGAGGATATGTTCCAATTTGCTGCAACCACTATCCCGTCCTCTTTTCCTCCAATGTGACCTACCGAATTAGAATTATTAGAGGGTTCGTACTTACATGAGCAACACGACGGGTGAATCATGTGGATTTAGAATTTAATGGCCATTTGTTTTAGAGAAAAAAATCCAAACCAGATACTTTAAAATATGTTTAAAAGGAGATGTGGGGTAAAACAATCAATCGACAAAATATTCAAAACTTTGTAGAGATAGTATAAAAAGCAAGTCTACATCTCAATGTTGTCGGTCTATTAATTATTTGGACTTTTATCTAATCTATCTAATTTTCTCACCCTTTTACGCGCAAATTTGAAATAATTAATTTTCATTGATGGTCAGGTGTAACATAAAAATGCAAGCCACTTATCGTATTTCAACAGATAATGAATGGCTTTAAACAATAGTAAACTGAGTAGAATTCACAGTAGATATACAGACTTTGACATAAAATGAACAAATATGTAATATGATACCATTTGAGTAAAAAGTAAATTTCGTCACTTTTGTCTTAAATTACAAGTCATTGAAGAAAGCATTATAAAGCTCATATGCTTTTGACCAGTTCTTCTAATTTATTTGGATTAGAATATATTTTCTCCAAAATTCATATGCACGCCCGGGCGTCTTGACGTAAACGTAGCTACGCGCCTGCAAGCGCATGTATTATATACTACCATTAGCCTAGGGCGTTATCCTGAGGTCCTTCTTATTAGACTTACTATAATTCATTAATGACTTACAAATAACGTAACAGAATACATTTCTAGTAATGGAAGACTTTTTTTTCGAAAATTGTTTTTTATTCAGAAAAACTAGTTCTAATGCAACACAATCCAAATGTTTGCCTGGTATATAGAAATGTGGAAATTCCTGGTTGCCTTCCTACCGGCCATAAAATCATGTCTAAAAGGGGCTTCCGATTGGTTGTGTGGGATGTAAAAATTGGCAGTCGCGTTCAGTCAGAAGGGATGTTAAATCCGATGCTTCTTGTGAAGAGACTGTTGCCACAGACACGTGTTGGGGTAAATTGCAGGCCGAATGCAGTCTACATGCCACAAATCCGTTTACAATGAACAAAACGAAATACGCAATGGAAAAAAAAAGATAAAAAGTCTTGTTCAACAAAGTTGATTCCATCAGGGATTTGTCTTAATACTTCTATCGTGACAAATCCTTGATCTATATTCATATCCTTAAACTTGTTAAAGGAATTTGATATTTACCGAAACAACAGAAAGGAATTGTTTTATTCTATATTCCTCGAGAAAATAATGTATTTCATGACAAATATCTGTCTAAACCAATTGTACATCACACATTTTGCCATAACGTTTGATGTACGTGAAGAAAAAGGATATTATACTTTTTCCTCAGGTGAATATGCTGTTTTATTCAAAATCCAAATCATATAAGAATAAGAATAAGAATAAGAATAAGAATAAGAATAAGAATAAGAATATTCTTATTAAGAATAAGAATATTTATTATTCCAATCAAGGGCCCTTGATGGGCAGCATGACATGTATACACATGGTTACACATGACATGTATACACATTTCAGTATAGAAAAACCTACTTAAAAACTGTCAATATGGAATAATCTCTGATATTTAGTCCCTAAGTTATGGTGGGAAGATCTAAAACGCGGAAGTTGGAAGTCTAAGTTGACATATTTTAAGTAATTTCTTTGGAACGGCTAAACATAAATAAAAAATTGAAACAATTTTTAAAGCTTATCAATAATTGGTCTACAATTCTAAATAAATTTTTTTTTTTTTTTTTATTTTCAAATGCATGCTTACCAAAAAGCCAATCTAATTAAAATACAGATCCTGTATCCAAGCTAGCTTCTCAGTGACAGGATCTGTATTTCAAATTTATGACCCCTTCTGTAGCACCGTATATTACGAAATTTCAAAGAGTAATAATATGAAAACAGCAAAAATACTGAATAAAAGAGTCATACCATTTTGCACATATGCCAAAGGAAAACGTCGTTCACAGAAATCATATTTATTGGCTAATTGCAATTAGTGGAAAATGTGGATTTTGTGTCAACTCAAGCCAAAACTTTTGCAGAAAATCAACGGACTTTATAACAGAGACCGTGCTTTCTTTATCAAATTAAAAAAAAAAACTCTCTAGCTTATCGATGGTATGCTATTATTTATTGTTTACAAAAAGTCATAAACAACCTTTACAAAAGTAAAAAAAAAAAAAAAAACAACAAAAAACGTCTCGTGCTGAGTCATTTAAATCGAGCGTAGAAGGTGTACTTGAATGGATCCATATTGTACTTGTCTTAACTAATGGCTAATATAATCAAAATTTGTTTTACGGAAATCATTGCTAGCATATTGCACGCATTACTCGCCTTTCTATTGAGTACAAAATTGTCAAATATAATAGTACACGGGAAAGGATGTGGATTTTCTATAAAATCTTCATATGTATGACATAGAAAGAACAAAAGGAAGGGTACATGATCCTTTAATACACAGATTGACCAAAAATATGACCGGAAACCCTGTTCCGCGATAATGGATCAGTCCGATTTTACCACTTTTAACTAAAATTGTCGAAAAACTGTACACTCTGGTCAACAACTGTACACTCTGGTCAAAAACTTTACACTCTGGTCAAAAACTTTACAAAAAACTTAACACTCTGAGAGGTTTCAGGCGCGGATCCGCCAATGGGTTTGAATGAGATCTTTCCATAATCAATCTTCCGAGCATATTACCATTGGTTTCTGTCCCCTTTACTTATATTCCCCTGCAACAATTCAGACCAAATATAACTATGTATTTCTTCATGAGGTATTATGGTAAAAATAACCAAAGTGCAAACATAACATTTAATATACTTCGGACTGTCAGACGCCCATTACATCATTCCACTGAAGACATTGTTCTTCCTGCCAAGATTGAGCTATTAAAAGACAGAATTCATCATTATATTTATGCAAGTAAAGGTTACGAGCTGCAAGCAGTCAATGCTGGAGTGCCGCGACCCTCGCAAATGGCCAATCCAGCTTTGCCTGGCCAGTCTTTTAGTGATCATAGCAAAGTATATTTTGGATGGAGGAGTCCAGAGCTTTCTTTTTCCTCTTCCTCAATATTTTTGAAAGGCTACATGGCTCTCAAGTTATATCTTCATGACATTGTGCAGCCAAATCATAGACCAGCTTTTCGTGCACTAGAAAGATTCTTCAGTGAAAATGGTAAATCTGCAGTCTTGTTTGTAAACTGTCGTCATACATGGAGCATGTTATGGGGGTAACTAGAGAATTTGAAAACAAGCTGAAAACCATATGGGGTACGTCTCAACCTACAAATCTGTGTACAGATGCCTGGCTGGGGTATGAAAAATCCCCCCCCCCCCCATTCATATATTAATTTATGCAAAAAACCTTACCCATTCATATATTTCATCAGAAAATCACAAGTTCACCATGTTCACAACCCATTGATATATATATTTATTATACTTCATGTCAAAATGCCAGATTTTGATTGGTTAATACGAGGGAGACAATTTACTCTATCCCATGGCAAATACTCTATTACCCTTCACTGAGGCACTTGCTGAAGTGTGCGCTTTAATAAATAGGGATGATTGTTATGTACAAGATAACATAGTTTATTACTTTGAATTTGAAATTTAATAGAACGTTTAGTATAATAAATTAAATAACACATATCTGAGAGGGTGATAGAGCAGATTGTTACCCCCCCGAAAAGACATTGTCAACCTTGGCTTTGCCTCAGTTGACAATGTTTTCTCGGTTTAACAATCTGCTCTATCACCCTCTCAGCTATGTGTTATTTATATATTCTAACATGACCTTCTTCCAAACGCTTTGAGTACACACCCGTGGTAAAATATGAATATATTGTTTGGGCTGTTCCGATCGTACTCCAGCGTCATATGCTTTTTTATGAATGAGCTATCAGACGTCATAGAACGATGACAGAAGAATATAAGCATTTAACGGGAAAATACACGCTTGTGAAACCGAAAATCATCACAACAATTAAGGAAACGTAAACAAACGATGCTAAAATGTGTTATATAAGCCATGTTATGTTTACATATAAGACATATAAATACAATTATCATTTAGATTCATCCAAACCTATCTAAATATGTCATTGTAAATAGTTTAAGCATACAATTTATTCAGTTTGCTCCGTTCTTTTACGTCAATTTAATAGAGCATTTATTTATGGGAACGGCAAATAATGCCTTCTCCTAGAGCGCTTCGATCCAAAAGAATTGTTGTATTTGTCCTATTAGAATCGAAATAATTCATTGGGGCTTGAATATATCGTGATTTTACCACGGGTTGTCCCTTTATGCCGATATTTTACCCTGAACGACCCTTGGTAAAATCACGATATATTCAAGCCCCCATGAACATGATGAATTATTTCTTAAATATTCCCCAGCTATCATGACATCTTATTTCAATGAGATGTATATCACATGGGATCCATGTCAAATTCATATTATGAGATAAAAATATCAGAACATGTATGACCCATTGACATATAAATTTAGACCCATTGATATATTTCCTCTGTGAAATTGCACCCTACTGATATATATATTTGAAATTCCATCAAAGTTACCCATACCAGCAGCATGTCTGTGTATACCTTTATCATATTTATATAGAACATTGTTTTATTATAACAATATGGGATTCACAATATGTACCGGTAGTCCAAATAGTTACAGATGTATGATGTCTTGAAAGGCTATTTTAATTTTTTGTTGCTGGAAGGCGCCACAGCAAAAAAAAATTAAAATAGCCTTTCAACAGTCAAGGGTGTAACTTGAATAAGTTATTAGAGAAAAATAACATACATGTGTTATTACCGATACTTTCTCTTAATCTGTAGTAACATATGTTTGTTATCAGTTAAATGTACCATAAAAATTTTTATTTTCAGTGGGCACTTGGGAATTCTTGAAACTTGCGCAGTAACTTAATACATAACCTTGAAAACTAATTTTCCAATTCAATTGATACATTTTTGATCAACCATGGTAAATCAATGAGACAAGGCTTTTAAGTGATAACTTAGCTGTAATAACAAGGCTTGGTAATTACAGGCATTTAACTTATTACATGAGACACTTGGGAATGACTAGGAAGCTTGCGCAGAACCTCATTACATGCTCTTATCATTATTTATTACAATTAATCAAAATACATTGTGATATATGTAGGAGAAAAGGCTTTGAAGAGATGTAGAGAAGCTGTAATAACACCCTTTAGTTATTACAGGCATATTTTTTTCTGTAATGACATGGGTGTGTTGTGTTATGCATGATTTGCAAACTATGGGCTGTTATATCTTTCTAAAGTTTAATATACATAAAGACAATTATAATATCAATAGAACTAGTACACAATTTAACAAAATAAAGGATGTATAATGCCCCTTTGAAACATGTAACATACATATGTTATCACATATTTTTGATTTTTTAGCCCTCAATAACAAATGTATGTTATTTTTCTTTTATAACTTATTTAAGTTTGACCCTTGACTGTTCAAGATGTCATAATTATTTGGACTAAACAATGTGGTGTACGTATGCAAAAGAAAGATAACGCTATTGAATTACCTCCACCAATGGTGGACCACCATACATTTTGTATTACAGGAATCCAGGTCCATTGTCCACAATCACTTTTGCTCCATTACATGTTTGCCCCTTTTCACGTTCACACAACACTCTTAAATAAAAATTTCTGTATTAACACCATAAACTTTTCTCTGTGTACAGACATAACTGTACAATTTGAAAAGTTTTAAAGCCTGATAGCATCAAGATAAATAAATGTAACATCCATATTATTGATTTTGACGAGGCACCGGTGGCCAAGGGGTCTAAGTAGTCCAATGACTATATCACTAGCCTGTCAACACTGAGGTTGTGAATTTGAATCAGGCACGTGGCAGGTGTGTTCGACTCCAATCTTAATTGACCAGGATTATCAGTTATCCTACCAAAGATTGTCGTTCTCTCTCTGTGTACTCGGGCTTCCGCCACTAATAAAAACTGAATGCAACAAAACAGGGGCCCCACACTAGAAGTACTGAAAGTGAAACTGATCAATCAATCAGATTTCACCAGACTATGTTTATTTTGCACCACCTGTGTCAATGAAAGAAAATATTTAGCAAAATCCACAAAAGTTTTTATCCTTTTAAAACACAAAATGAAAACAACTGGTATATATCTAGGTGCTGCCAGACTTAAAAACTTTTAAAATTACACAGTTTTGTTTGTACTCAGAGAAAATTTCATGGTATAAACACAGCCATTTTTGAAAACGTGTATTAATGAACCTTTATTGTGTTTGTTGATGTTGTTAGTGGATTGCTGCAAAATAGGAAAGATAATTATTTTTTTTTATTGTTTTATTAAAATAAAGTGACAGCCTTATACATATTATAAATAGGTTTCCTTTAGTGTCAGGTGAATTATTTTGAGGAAATGAATATTGTCACGGTTCCACTGCTAAAAGAAAAGCAGAAGATACCAAACTGACAGTCTATTAAGATTTTAATTGTTTTTACTCCTACTAATCAAGGATTTGTACTAATCAAGGTAACTGGTTTTCTTTACAAAGTTTTTACCACCAAAGCAATTTTTTTCAGCAATCATAGTAATATCATTTAACTACCATTGAACAGTAATCCAAGGATTTATACATGTACATAAATCCTTGAGTAATCAAAATTAATATAAAAATATGGTGCGAACGTGTGGGGTGCAAATGAAGTGGATGAAAGTGTTATGTGTGCAAATGGACCTGATAGCATATTATAATACTTGAATTTTTCAATTACCAGACAAAACTAAATGGGGAACTGTTTTAGTGAGTAAGACTTGCACAAATACATACATACATTGTACATGTACATGTATATCAATTAAGGACTCATTGTGCCAGAGCTGTGTGCTTGCTTACTTGGGTTCTTTAGTGTTATAATCTGCATTTTGTTGATGTTTTTCTTTTTTTCTTTTAGAAAGACACGAGGATTGTTTATCGAGATACTTGCAGAAGGAGATATCATTAAATGACACCAAAGTGTCATGTGTTTTGACTCAGCATTTGTTATCACAGTTGCTACCACATCCAACAAATTATATTTTGGATACACATTCAAAAGGAAAAAGTGCTGAGTGTCCTTGTGAATGTGGAACACCCATGTTGTATGGTACAACTTTAGTTGGTAAGAATGAATATATGTCAACACAGATTAAAATTTAAATGACAAAGTTTTTGCTTCACATTGAAGGCCTTATAGTGACTTTTAGATGAAGAATAGCAATAAAAGCACTGTTCCTTTGCTTTTTCCAATTTTTTCTGTGCATGTTATGATTTTGTGTCATGGATGGATACCCCATATCCTAAGCTTTCTCTTCATTTATAAACAGACTAAAAGTAGGAGGTATGATAAGAGGCAATATTTGTCTTCTGAAATGTTAAAAAAGTAAAATTACACAAGTCATTCAAATTTATAGAATAATTAACAGGCTTTAAAATTCTGGTCATTTTAGAGCAAGAAGGTTGTGGTGTCACTGTGATGTCATAGACACGTTGAAATTGACATATTTGACAAAAAAAACCATTTTATCCATTGTTTTTTTTTTTTTACAAAATATAGATATGAGCCATAGCCTAACCCTAAAAAAAAAATAATTATTCTTACACATGTACATGTAAACATCTTGTAGCAAAAAATCAGTTTGAGTTAAGCTGTTGCTTACTAGCTCACTGTCTCAAGAAACGTAAGCATTTAGAGCTAAATTAATGAATAAATATGATCATTAGGTAAACTTCTACCTGCCTTAAAATTTTTAGACAAATCAGAAAACACAATTTGGGGTTATTGGCCCCGAATTGTTAATTTTAAAGAAATTAGTAAGTGTTTGGACATTAAATTGAATATATTATTATAGATAAAGATAAAATGTAAACATCAAAAATGTTCAGCAAGGTGAGATTTACAAATACGTCAACATGACAAAAAATGTCCATTGATCTCTTATAGTTGTTATTGCCCTTTAAGGACAATTTTTCACAATTTTGTCATCTTTGTAAACTTTCAAAAAACAACAGGAACAATTAGCCAAATTTAGGTTGCATGATCTTTAGGGTATCTAAATTTGTGTTTTATTTTCTTGTCCATCAAAAATCATTGCCCCCATTGCAGGGTTTCCCCTGGGTCAGTTTTCTTTTTCACCATCTCTTTTGCCAAAACAACATATTTTTTGCCACTTTTAATTTTTTTTCGCCAACTAACATAAATATATTTTTCTTTTAAAATTTTGCTTCTTTTTAACAAAAAAAAAAAAGTTTGCCACATTGTTGTCTATTATAATTCTAAATATATTTTTTTTAATCTACATTGTAATAAATTCACACTCAATAATAACAAACATTTACGTTTTAAAATATATACAGTAAATTGCAATATATATCATGAAATCATAATTTTTTGCTTCTGCCGGGGATTCATTTAAATAAGTTTATAGGATACTTCCCGTCTAGTTGAAGGATGAACACTAAAGTCAGAGATTTTTCGTAATTTTTAATAATTTTCTTCATAACAACAGTTTTCTTTTCCGGACCATCGTTAAAAGAAAAAGTTGAGATGTAAAACTATGCTTTAAACACTTGCTTTGCTAAAACGATTGCAAAGTACCTTCTTCAAAACAATTATTATATTTCTATCAAAGTTAAAGGATAAAGTTTAAAGTCAGAGATTTTTCTTACTTTTTAACATTTTTCGTCATAACAACAGTTTTCTTTTCCAGACCATCGTTAAAGGAAAAAGTTGAGATGTAAAATTATGCTTCAAACACGTGCGTCGCTAAAACGATTGTAATGTACCCACTTCAAAACAATTATTTCTATCAAAGTTAAAGGATTTATCGTCATAACAACAGTTTTCTTATGCGGACCATCGTTAAAAGAAAAAGAGGGGACGTAAAACTATGCTTCAAACACGTGCGTCGCTAAAACGATTGTGAAGTACCCACTTCAAAACAATCATTTCTATCAAAGATTTAAAAAAAAATCTTTCAGTTACATGGGATGCCATTTAAGGTTCATCAAAAGGAATTGAAAAATATGGCCGTGTTTAAACCACAAAATTTACTATGAGTACAGACAAACTGATGCATCTAGGAAAGTTTTAATAGATATATAAAAGTCATATGAAGTCTATGTTTCAGCGAAATAAACAAACACCTGAGTTTCATTTGATACGGTCCACTCAATTACATAGTTTAAATCACCTATTGTTTGAAGATGTCTATTGTCCATGTATTGTCCATTTAAATCAATGCTACTGACAACATTTATTATATGAGGGGAGCTTCTCAAACCTCTTTCCCAACTTAGATTATTTTGGCACCTTCTGCATGAATGAAAAAAAATGAATAGCAAAATCCAGAAAAGTTTATAATTTTCTGAAACATAAATTGCATTTAAAATTTATTTATCTAGTTCCTGCTATGCCTTAAAACTTTTCCAGGTGCACACGTACAGGTTTGTCTGTACTCAGAGTGAAATTTGTAGTGTAAATTCAGCCATATTAGCAGAAAAGTTATGATGAACCTTAACCACACCATTTCATTAAACAATACAATCAACACGTTTAATAATTATAATTAACTCTGCTCCATGGGTAGAATTGGAACATACATTTGTAAAATGGAGATTTTGGATTCAGCATCTCAAAAACTATAGCATTTAGAGCAACTAGTAAATAAACTGACAAAGAGTAAAAAGAATTATCAGGTCAAGATCTAGATAAGGTAGAAATAAACTGAAAATAACAAAAATGTACATGGCAATAGAGCCAAATAGAAAATCACCAAAACTGTTTTGGAGTTATTGCCCTTGGAGGGATAAAATACATGTATGTGGGACTGTAGGGGATATTGGAATGCTGTTCTTTTCTTTTTCTTTTTTTTTAAATAATACTTTTCAGTTCTTGAATCAGACAGTTCTTTTAATCATTGTAGGAAGCCCAGATCTATTTTATGGGAATGCTGATATAGTTCTTTTTCCATCTGACAAAGATTTATTCAATGATGTCATGGATGTTATGGAAACCTCTGCAATAATAACTACACCTAAATATTTCTTTGAGAATGGGTATGAAGACGATGATATAGATGGAGATGAATTTGCTAATAAAGACCTTCCAGATGCTCTTCCAGATGAAGCCACAAAATTTGATCAGGTCTTGATGCAGGCTATTTCAGTCTCGCTCTGTAAACACAGACGAATAAAAAACAAAATTCAAACCAAAAATAACATTTCTGCAGTTCCAGTATGCCAAATTACAAAGGAAACTTACTGTGTGGCACTGTATGATGCTCAATATGACTACTTGTTGAGAACAAATAAAGCTTTAAATCTTTTTGATGGAAATAATCTTCGATTTGATGCAGTGTTAGATTTGTGGCTTTTAATTCACCATAACTTATTTTGTTCTACACCTCATCAGAAAGTTTTGAGGGATTTTAAAGGGACTTGTGACCTTATTCCACAACTTGGAATAGATAAATATGAAAACATTGTTCAAAATTCAAGATTGCTGTATATGCCAGAGAATATGCAACCTGACAACTCTGATGATGTTTCAACCCCTAAAATTACAGATGTGTAAGTATTTTCATTGTATTACAGTGAGTAAATATATATGTATGACGGGGAAAAATATACATTGAATGGAGTAAGGTCATGAAGACAGCGTTAATCACACCAAGCAATAAACACAGTAAACCATTGAATTAGAATCCACACTATGTTCATATGTTCATGATATCCGATGCTATAAGCTCTGAATGGCCTAGACTAAAAAAATAGAAATGGAAAAACTAGCTCGCTATACAGCACAATGTTGAAATACCAATTAGCCAAATTAAGTACTGAGGATTCATTTATTTTCGTGGGTATCAATTTTCGTGGATTGAGGAACACTTCCATTTTCGTGGATATTTGATTTCGTGGTTTTGCCAATCTCTGCATACAAAGCCAAATTAACATTTGTAATTCGTTGAACATTTGAATTCGTGGTTCACCTGAACCCACGAAACCCACGAAAACTGGTATCCAACGAATAATAATGAATCCACAGTATTTGTTTTCCTTCTCCAGACTATACTCGAAAGAAAAAAAATAGGTAGCTATCATGACTATATGTAGGTAAAAAGTTTTTTTTTTGTGTCAACAGAATTTTTCAATTAAAAAAGAAAAACTGAAAGTCAAATGTATTCAACTTTCATTGACTAGAGGTATGAGAAGAAATGTTATTATATTATTTCTACCCTTCAACAAAGAGAGAAATATACTGTTTTTGAAGTGTTCTTCTTCTTTTGCAAACAACCTTGTCTGGGTCATAAATTTTTACCTTTGATATTTATCATGAAGGTGTATAACCATAACATGATGTGTTGCATACATTGTACCACCATCAACTTCATGTGACCTTGACCTTTGAAGTCATTTTTTTGTCTGAAACAGAACTTTTTTAATCTATTGACAGAGGCTTTTGATATTTGGCACATGGTTCAGAGTACACAGCTACAAGTTCCCCCTTTCTTTATATTGAGTGCCTATCAGATATCCTCTTTAATAAAAAAATCAGGTCGAAAAAACGGGAGACAGACTAATGCATAGACTGAGAACAGAATGCAAAACTATTGTCCCCTTAAGGTTTGCAGAATCTGAGCATGCACACAAAAGTTTTTTGATTATGCAAAAAACATGTTAACATACAAGTTGCATATCTGAGATAAATTTCATGTTGTCTTTATATCACAGTTTTCTTTACCTTCAACTAGCAATATATATATATATATATAGCTTATATATTTCATGTAAAAAGTAAAGCTATTATAATTTCTTATTATTTTTGTTGTCACTAATAAGTTTATGAAAAGTTTATTAACTCTAGCTGTCTTCTTATTTTTTGGTCAGTGGCGACTTGAGCTGGTTAGATATAATAACAAAGAAGATTGATTCAATGGACCCATCAATTGAAAACTATGACTCATGGTTTGATGATTGGATGGAAGAAGCTGTGGAAAATTCAGAGAAAAGCTCACCTGATGGCCATCATCATCATCATCATCATCATCATCATCATCATCATCAGAAAGATATATGTGACAGGTATGGGAAGTATGCATGTAATTATACAGAAAATTAATATAAATTGACATAACTCAGCATAACTAACTAATTTTGACCTATTGCATTGAAGCGTGACAGAGTGGAGAATGGACTGAATGGCATGATTGCTCAATTAATAAAAAACTGTTGGTTTGCTGTTCCCTACCATCTCATTTTAAATAGGAAATGGATTTCAAACTTTCACTGAATCTTGATTATAATGCCATTGTGTACATCTTATTTTGTTTTTTTATTTAAGTGATTTCTAAGGTTTCTCATAACAAAACATGGACTCTGTCATGCAATAAATGGTATAAATAGGGAGGTTTCAATTCTTCAGCAATTATACCTACACAAATATTTTTACACGTATTACCGTTTTTGAGAGCATTTTTTTTATTTTACATGTTTATTAGTTTGCCAGGTAATTATTTTAGTCAGGGGTATTACTTATACAAGTCATGTATCTTTACTTTAAGATGTAAGATTTTAATTTTCTTTTCAAAGTTTGAATTATCTCCCCTAGATCTCTTTCAAAATTAACTTATGCAAATAATTTTTCTTACAACCTCTTAAATTTGGTAGGTCAAAACTTGCCTAAATTTTTTTCTGCTTTGTCATGTTTGTTAATATTTTTCTAATCAGAGTTCAACCTTTTATCTCAAGAACCAAAAAAAAGAAATCTACTTTGCAAAGATGTTAAAAGTAAATGTGGAATGCCCTCAAAAATAACTCCCTGGAGGCTTGTTAATGAGAAATATTTGAATATACAATGTTACAGACAAATGAGGATTTCATTGTCTATGAAATTATACTTTTTGTGAATAGTAAAGACGACTATTAAGGACAGACAATTAAACACTTAGCAAAGAGAAGTTCAAGAAAAGAAGAAATTTTACATATGACTTTTTTACTTATATCATGTATATATTTTAACATGATTAAGTTAAAAAAAAACCTGAATGCCTACGGGAAATAACTTTACATCCAAATTAATTTACCTGTACAAGTAAATGAAAAACACTTGTATAAGTATTACTCCTGACTATGTACTAAAGGATCCTTTTGACAGTTATAAAAAAAAACCAATCTATGCAGTGACTCATTTTTTTTTTACAGTCAGAAGAAGAGTGAAGAAAACGGGCCAGGTTGCTGAAAGATCAGTATCTAGGACTGTTACAAGTTTTTTGTAAGGTGTGAGTATTTTTCAAATTTGTGAGACACTTTCTGTTTGTCGATACTTTGAATTTTTCAATATTTCCAATGATAAAAAAAAAAATTCAACACGTGTTTCTCAAGTACTGGTGAATAGATTGATTTCATATTTAGTCAGCAGCTTTTCAGTGATGAATTTTAATGTTCCTTTGTGGTGTACAAGTTTTTGTAAGGACTGTTACCTATCAATAGCAGGTTCACACCTTTTTCCAAGTATGTAATGTAGGTTTTATTCACTAATGGGTCAGCCATATTATCTTAAACTGGTATTTGCTGATTCTCCTCCAGACAAGCCACATTTAGGAATAAGAACATCGACAGGCCTGTTGGAATAATGTGTTTTAGTAAGATGATATATCTTTATATTCATGATATTCCCTTGTCACCTTGCACGTAAAAAATCAGCATCCTGAATATGCACGTAATATTTTAAGTGGACTTCAAACAAACTTCAATTACTTTATAAATTAATCAATTGAAGTTAACCTTTTTGCTAAATATTTGAACATTCCATGAGCAATGTGGTGAGTGCCACTGGTGGGGCAGGATCTGCTAACCCTTGGAACACCTGAGATCCCCCAATTTTTGGTTGGGTTTATGTTGCTTAGTTTAGCTTTCTATGTTTTGTTTCATGGACTTGTTTGTACCTCTGTTTTTTTTTATGCCCCCGATGCAAGAGGGGCATTTAGTGTTACCCTTGTATGTCTTCATATCCGTCCAAACGTATCTACGTCCCAAAATTAGTTTCCTTTCCCTTACTTTAGTTTGCCTCAACCAAATGTATTGAAACTTATACACAATGCTTATAACAACAAAACACAGATCAAGTTTGAATTTGGGTGGTGTCACTTCTACCTTTCTAGAGTTATGCCCCATTATAAATGGAAAAATTGCTGAATTTTCCGCTTCTGTTCTCTAACTTGAGTTTGCGTAAACCAAATGTTATGAAACTTATACACAATGCCTATTACCATAAAACACAGATCAAGTTCGAATTTGGATGGCGTCACTTTTACAATTCTCTAGTTATGTCCCTTTATAATGTTATATGCAAGAAGGGGCATCATCTGTGTCCAATGGACACATTCTCCATTTATTTTCTTGAAGTATGATTTATATGTTGGATAATAGAAAGTTTTCATCATAACTACAGGAAATTAAAAAAATTCTATGTCTTATTAAATATTCCAGATCCAAAAGGGCAGCGAGATAAGAAGCCAGAAAAGAAAATGACTAAAATGCTTCTTAGAGAGATTTTCGTGACGAACACGCCGTACTCATTTCAAAGACCACCATGCAAAATCTGCAAAGAAGATAAATGTTGTGAATTGTTACACAATTCTCAAGCCAATGGATTGCCAGTGATACCCAGAATAAATTATCACACGGAAAAGAACATAGAAACAGGAATGTGCCCAAATTTGAACAGGATAATATTTTTGTGGTTTTTGTTTTGTTTTTATTCACACAATTTATGCAAATACTGTTAACTCTTAATAATTTCAAACAATAGTAAGGTGTATCTAATTGTATTCATATTTTAAAAGTCAAGATTGAGGTATGATTGCTTGAAATTTAACACTGCATTGATGCATATTGGCCTTTTTGCGGTAACAGATTTTTTGTATGGTAGCATTACTAAATGTAACATAAACAAAATTGTCATGTAATAAATCATTGTGATACGAGTTTGACACGAAGTAATGCTTCATTAATAAGCATATTCTAATGACACATGATTATATTGTTTAATTAAACATGACTGAATTGTTTAACAAATCTTCCTTAACTCGTTTAAATACTCTTATAGAAAGTTCAATAATATATCGATCTTACTTTTTAAGTCGTGATCAATAATAGCTTATACTTAAACTACTTTGAGACATAATATGATTTGTACACCAATATACAATGCATGTGCGCATGCAAATTATAAAAAATGTGCATAGGTAAACTTATTTTTCAAGCATACACATCATTCTATATGCTTTACATGAATCTGTGTGTACAAATATTTAACACATGAAAACATGAAAACATGAGTCTTTAAGGTTCATGCTAAAGAAAAGCTTATGGACTAAGCCGATGGTTTTGTAATTTGTTGATTTACGCTTCAGCTGACCCATTTTTTCCAATTTACAGAAAGAAAAAAAAATTGCAATTGAAATTTCATGCTTTTTTCCCCCCTCCCCCACCAACTCTACTAATTCATTATCCCTGAAATATAAATAAAAATTATCTGCGTAGAAGCATTCACCTCAAATTATGTGCGTTATTGTAATAAACAGAAATTATACCACATTGACCGTTGTGTTAAATAAAAGTCTCAAAACAATTCATGGCGTTTGTGAATTCTAAAAATAGGAAATCAAACAGATCTGGAAATGTTGTTAACGCAAATAACTTTACAGAATGAAATGTATGTTTACACAAAGTTGGTTTTCCTATCCTTTATTTTCTTTATTCCTTGAGATTTTATTTTGAAGCTGTTTCATCCTTGTTTATGAAATGGACCTGTCCAAACAGGAAAGACCTGAAGTCAAAAGTAATAGAAGATAAACACAAACAATTTGGAATTTTCTTGATTCATAGATTGTACAAAAATCTTTCTTTCATTTGGATAACAAAAAAGTGGTTAAATGGCAAAAAGACGAAACCAATATCCCCATCTGTTACATTTGACAGGTCTACTTCGCTAGTGGTAAACTACTTTTTTCATGTTTTCAATTTTTTTCACATGCTATACTACGAGAAGCTCATTATTTACCGTGTTTGATAGAAAGCAACATAAAGCTAATTTTCATTCATCGTGAAATGACTATCTATGTCCCATTTGTAAATAAACATAACCACCCCTTTTTATGAACTTATATGATGATGACATGAATTGTATGATTAATACAGCAATAAAAAATGTTTGGCACTAAAATAACACAAATATTGTTTGAAAGATGAAGTACAGAGTAATTCCATAAATATTTGTGTTTGTAAAATATTTTTTTTCTTTTTTTTTCTGACTGACCGACTTGAATCTTTCAAATAAAAAAACCATAAACCAACAAACTATAAAATTCTTGCCTAGCAAATTATTAAAGGGATGTTATGTTTGAAAAATAAAGATTGAAAATTATAAAAATAATAAAATAAGACTTTTTAAAGCAGCACACAGTAAGCAAATGCAGTAAAGATAACAATAAAACTTAACACCTATAACGCTTACATCACACATTGATTAAGAGTAATTTCACAGTATGAATGGTTATTTGAAAGTAAAATGTATAAATGTAACGTGTAATTTAACAAGTTGACTTGATTTAATCATGATCACAAACAGAATATTATTCCAAATAGATAGATATTTCAAATGCTTATTACTAGTCATTAGGTGTTAAAACTTAGGTACACGTTAGCTATTTCAAATTATGTTTTCTTGGGTAATTATAATGTTTTATAAAAGAAGATTTTAAAGGCTTTCAGCCAATGAGAAAACTGAAAACGTACAGTCATAATAAAAGAAGCTTTTTGTGCAGTTGTTTCTCCCTTCCATCATTTTGTAATGAATTATATCAAGTAAAGTTGAACAAGGTTGGTTCATCCAATTAACATTCAATGTTAAATAAAATGCTCCGCTGGGGCGCAGCTTGATACGACCGCAGAGGTCGAACCCTGAACAGTTGGGGCAAGTATGGACACAACATTCAAGCTTGATACAGCACTGAATTTGGATTGTAATTAAATATTTGACACAGCATAGGTTTCTGACACAGAATGAAAGTGGTCTAAGAACTTAAAAATTTTCAATTTACCTATTCATACATGTGATGGACTGTGAAACTCAGATCAGGAGATTGGGAAATTTTGGTCAGGAGATTAGGACTCAGATCAGGAGGTTTTTAATCGACATTAATTTTGTTGTAAATGTAACCGTGTGCTGTAAAAATGGTCTTTTAAAGTGTGTTTTCTTCAACTTTCCAACCAATTTATTATGTTAATAGTACCCTTGTAATTATAAAGTTTCTCCATCTTTATATTCTACATGTTCAATCTAACATTGTTTTTTTCCAGTATGTTCTTTAAATTTTTTACTTCATATTCTATAAAACAATCATTGCAACCAGAACATTTGTTTAGCTGTCTGCAAATAGTTTTTTTTTTTTTTTTTTTTTCTCTTGCAAATAGTTCTTATTTGCAAACTCAGAAATTCATTCTATCTGTAAAGTTAGGGTCATAGTTATTATATAAATTTCAATTTAAGCCTTAAAAGGAAGTATAGAATCCTCAAATAATTTTCAAATTATTATTTTTTTATTTGTCCTAAGACATTTAAAATCATTTAATAACCATCCTTTTATGATTATTTGTTCAATTTATATTTTATTTATATTCTTTTAAAAAATTTCATTATTAAAAGGAAAGTAACTTATAACAGGATAAATCAAGGGAAGTAACCCAATAAATACACAGTTTTTGTTACACAACGGCAGTTAGCCTGAGGTAAAAATCGTTGCTTACCAGTATGTTTGACACCCAAGCTGACAAGTGAAGCCATATAATTATGCATGTTAATTGATTTACAGGTAAAATATAACTTCAGGTAATGTCAGTTACACCAGATGCCTGAGATGTTATGTTGGGCAGAAATTTTTCATTCATGAAAAATTTCATACACGGGATTTTTTCAACGGGAGGTCGGGAGGAGACCCCTGAAAACGGGATTATTGTACTCCCGTCGGGAGGTTCACATGTATGCCTATTCAAACCATATCATTATTATTTGCTTTTATATATAAATCAGAAATAACCAATTTAAAATGGAAAATGTTAAAGAAAAAAAAGGAAAAAAAAAATCCCCCCCCCAATTTTTTGAACCCCCTTATGATTCATCGCCCCAAACTCAATCCCAGCTTTCCCTTTGTGGTATGGTACCTTGCAGTACAATTTCAGAGAGATTCATACACTTGAACACAAGTTATTGTCTGGAAACTAGAAAAATGCTTGTTTTTTGGCCCCTTTTTGGCCCCAAATTCCTAAACGTTTAGGGCAATTACCCCCAAACTCAATTCCAGCTTTCCCTTTGTGATATGGAACCTTGCAGTACAATTTCATAAAGATCCATACACTTACACACAAGTTATTGTCCTGAAACTAGAAAAATGCATGTTTTTTTTTGCCCTTTTATGGCCCCTAATTACTAAAATTTTGAGGGAAAACCCCCAAAATCAATCCCAGCCTTCCCTTTGTGATATGGAACCTTGTAGTACAATTTCATAAAGATCCATACACTTACAAACAAGTTATTGTCATGAAACTAGAAAAATGCTTGTTTTTTGCCCCTTTTTGGCCCCTAATTCCTAATATTTGGAGGAAATTACCCCAAAAATCAATCCCAGTATTCCCTTTGTGATATGGAACCTTGTAGTACAATTTCATAAAGATCCATACACTTACAAACAAGTTATTGTCATGAAACTAGAAAAATGCTTGTTTTTTGCCCCTTTTTGGCCCCTAATTCCTAAAATTTGGAGACAATTACCCCCAAAATCAATCCCAGCATTCCCTTTGTGATATGGAACCTTGTGGTACAATGTCAGAGAGATCCATACACTTACACACAAGTTATGTCTGGAAGTTACAAAAATGCTTATTTTTGGCCCCTTTTGGCCCCTAATTCCTTAACTGTTAGTACCATAACCCCCAAAATCAATCCCCACCTTCCTTTTGTGGTATTGAACCTTATGGTAAAATTTCAATGAGATCCATTCACTCAAACTAAAGTTAGAGTGCGAAAACTAATGTGTATTCGGACGACGACGCCGGACGACGACGCCGGACGACGACGACGACGACGACGCCAACGTCATACCAATATACGACCACAAAAATTTTTTTGCGGTCGTATAATAACTAGTTCATCTACACAAGTTATTTCTGCATGAAACAGGAACAATAAAATTGCATCCAAAAACAAAGCTACAATATCTAGCAATATATTCATGGTCAAAGTTCGAATTCCAGACCAATTGATTAAAATGAAATTGTACAAGTAGCATGGTACTACTGGATTCAAATGAATGTAACTTGGTGAAATCACATGCATTCAAAGGGATGAAATGTGTCAATGGCAAAGGTAGAAAGTGTTCTAAGTGGTTCAGCCATTGCTTGCAAAAAAGTTTAGTTTTTTTTCATGTGAATTTCTCATTCATGATGAATTATATCATAAATATATTTGGTATATGGGTTCCTTGCAAGGTCTACATGTCCGTCAGACAGGTTTCACCTGACCTCTACTTCGTCAGGAATATGACATTTGTTTTTCATTCGTTTGATGTGTTTGAGCTTTTGATTTTGCTCTTTAATAAAGGACTTTCCATTTTGAATTTTCCTTGGAGTTCGGTATTTTTGTTATTTTACTTTTTTCATCTTACCTTGACCTCGTTTTTACGGTTCATGGGTCGATGTTAAGTTGTTTTGGTTTTGGTCTGTTTTTCTAATACTATAAGCAATAGGTCAACTATAATAGTTGGTGTATGGAATGATTTTGTAAGGTGTTCATGTCTGTCTGGAAAGTATCTCCTATCACCGACCTCATTTTCATGTTTTATTTTTCAATGTTAAGTGTCAGAAGTTAGGTCCTCTTCTAAGATACTATAAGCAATAGGTCAACTATATTTGGTAAATGGAATGATTGCAAGGTGTACATGTCCGTCTGGCAAGGTTTATCTGACTTTTGACCTCATTTTCATGGTTCATTGGTCAAATGTTAAGTTTTCCTGATTAAGTCTCTGTTTCTTACATATTATAAGCAATAGATCAACTTTATTTCATACATGGAATGATTGCAAGGTGTACATGTCTTGCAGGGTTCATCCGACCTTGATCTTATTTTCATGGTCCATTGGTCAAAATTGCGTTTTCATGGTAAGTCTGTTTTTGTATACTTAAAGCAATATGTCAATTATATTTGGTGAATGGAATGATTGTAAGATGTACATGTCTGTCTGGCTTGGTTTATCTGACCTGGACCTCATTTTCATGTGTCATTGAAAATGTAAAGCATATGTGAAACTTGTAGTAAATCTTGATCATGGGTAGTAAAGCAGGCGAGACATTCCAGCGTGTGCATTCTTTTTTTTCTAATTTCTAAATGTATCAACGGAGAATTAAAGAAATGTATGTTATAAATCATATCAGTTCCAGATCACCGACTACTGCTCAGAGACTAGCAGTCCACCAACAGCGCTATCGACCCTGTACTAGTAAATATCATTTGACATGACACTTTCTATTTTTGGTGCGTCCAAAGCTCTTTTCTGGATGTTCTTTCACTTTTCACTTTTCAAACCAAAATTGTTGCCACTACCATCTTTTTCTATATAAAGTGTCAAACAAGATGACAAATTTCTTTGCGTCTTCGTCATTAAAAATGAGTAATATTTTCGTTTGGCATTGAAAAAGAACGTGTCTTTCTATATTATTCATAATGTTATTGTATGAAATAATTACAGTGCAGGATGGTATGATCTAATACATGTGCTTTAAAACGGTTTCAGCATTTTTTGGCATCCATTCATACGGTAATCTTTATCATTGATATGTTTGAACTTTTTGTTCGTTTTCTGTCATCCCGGTTTAATATTTTGTTTCATGTATACATACATGTATATAATATAACATCCACACACGCTTAAAACACATGTCTTATGTCTATCTCTTAGATTCGCCTTACGTGACAAGGTAACACTACGACTTGAAGTTATATTTTTATATATATAGCCAGAGACATATAATACAAGAGATTCGCAACTCTAGTAGAGTCTATACAACAGCCAATGAAATGACTTGGCCACCGGAAAGCCGATTATACCTATGGATTTTTGGTATCGGGTCCGTTCGCGCCCAATACACGTTCGCACCCTACACGTTCGCACCCCACACGTTCGCCCCCTGGGTCCGTTCGCACTTTTTTTTTTATTCAAAAACCCGATGAATTATAAGATGTTTTTTAAGATGTTTATCTCAAAATACAGAAAAATTCGGCAATTTTTGAATTTTTTAAATGAAATATTGTTTTAAATTGATTTGATGATTAATTATTTATGATTACTGTTAATTATATATGGTGTTTACACAGCTAAACTTGATGTAAATTCTGCATGTAGTTATATTAGCATGTATTTAACTTGGTATGAGTAAAAACAATTAAGATTCAAAATGTTATTGTTGTTGAGTTTAAAGCGGTTTGGTATCTTAACATTTAAATAATATTCAACACAAAAAACCTTTTTTAGAAAGTCACTTTATTTTGAAACAATGAAAAAAAAAAAATACAGAAATACACTAACCAAAACACGATTAAAAAGATATTCAACACAAAAAACGTCACTTTATTTTTGCATGTTTTGAAACAATGAAAAAAAACTTATTTATACGATTTTTATAATGGATAATGCCGATACTTTTCACAGCTAAAGCATGCAAGTATATTTAAAAATTACAAAAAACGAATTCTAATAATTTGTTATTGATAAA